AGTACCAACGTCGCCGCGATCAGGATGACTTCAGCGAGCGTGGTGGCAGTCGCTCCCGTCGATACTCGGATGACATGTACGATGACAGACGAGCTGGCGGCAACCGAGACTATTACGATGAGGACCGGTCCTATCGGGAGAGGCCCAGAGAAAAGCGACGAGGAGGGCGCTCTGATTACTCGTCATCATCATCAGACATCGGAGATTCTGATGAAGACGAAAAGCGAGCAAAGAAAATGAGAGGTAAGCAAATCATTACTACAGGCTTAGCGGCCGTAGCCACTATCCACGCAGCGCACGGGGTCTATTCTAGTATGGAGAAGAGGAATGCCAGACATAAGGCTGTCAAAGAGGGACGACTGAGCGAGGTCGATGCCAAGAAGCTCAAGACCAAAGCGATTATGCAAGATGCCGCATCCGTGGGGATTGCTGCTATGGGTATCAAGGGAGCTATATCTGAGATGAAGGAAGCCAAGGACTTGACAAAAGAGTGCAAGGAATTCAACCAAGAGAAGGCCCGCCGTCACGAGAAACGAGTGCAACGGCGGGTGAGACATCAATCGATAGGCGACGGCAGGACAAGAGCCGACAGTTGGGCTCCTTCGTCTCGGAGAGTTGACGGGTACGACTCGGATCTCGAGTATGAATACTCTGACCCCCGAGATTATCAAGGCAAACCATACAGAGGCAATACCTTTCCTGCCGAGCCGTACGGGACGGACACCTACAGGAGAAATCCTAATGGGTTGCCGTCTCCCTATTGAGCATTGGTCGAATCTGCATTGCACCTTCCTCCCAAACAACAACCACAACACATAAATTCATGACTTATGACGAGACGACTATTTAGCTCATGATAAAATCTTGAGCCCAACCAGCAGAGGTGTTATTGGTAAATTGGCAATTGGATACGAAACAGGGAATATGGAAAGAGAAGGGGACTGTGTGAATGTGACCTACGGCGCTGTGTGGTGTGGTGTGGTGGCTGTTTACTGCTGAAATTCCCCTGATGCATCAGATAGATGAAGCACACTTGCTTTCTCCCCGCAACCTTGCCCACATTTGTTTCACATGTGTATTCAAAACAAAGACTAACGACGATGATTGTATTAGACCATCGCCGATATTGAGCCAGTGGCTCGATTCCTGCAGAATCAGGCGAAAGCTCATGCCCACTCATGGAGTGAGCAGCCTATCTTGAAGACGCAGAAGCAGGCCCATAGCCATATCCCGGCAGACCGGCACAAGCATGCATGCCTGTCCAACGATGAGGTGCATGGTCACGTTCCACCGCAGCCATGATGGAGTTGGGTCTAGAAGGATAGAAGGACTCTAGAACTGAGGAAATTATGGGAGGACGACGATGATCCAACGGGATGTGAGACCAAAGGGGTAATAAGAAACGGTAGGTAAGTGACGGAAAGGCACTGTATGCACGATGATGACAGGTGGGAACGCGGCTATCCGGCCCCGGGAAGAACGGCCTTTTTTTTTTTTTTTTGGGATGTTGCAGATCGATTCTCAACGATTGGACAAAGTGCGACGAGATCGGGAATACATATGAGAAAAAAGAGCTACTGTAAGCCATGTGTCCCTCGGAGGGATGCGGGCCTACAAAACGATATGACATGATGGATATTGACTTTTTTTTTGCTTCTTTCTTCTCTTGGTTATGGATTTGATATATGTTACTCTGGATATAAAACGAGCTGGGGAGTTGCATCTCACCCAGATCTTAAGACAACTTAACGAATCATGATCTATAATGAACAATCTTGGCTTATATAAAGGTCATTTTACCTCTTGGGGAAGAAGACAGAGTTATTACATGCCGTCCGATGATTCAGGTTTGAAACAAAGTGAGATAGCAAATAAGCTCATCTTTCCTCAACCGACGAGCTCTAAAACCATGGAGATCCTTGTCCTGTTCCTGTCGCTCGTTGGACATGCGTAGTCTACCATGTCCTTTCCCCCCACGAAATGCCCTGACTTGGTTGCTTGACCTTGGCTTTAGTTCCGGAGCTAATTTTTTTTTTGCCAAGACGTCATAGTATGATGACGTCAACTGATGTACCCACTAGCATTGCCAACTCATCCAGCAGTCGAATACTTTAATCCCGAGATATCTTGTTATGCAGCCTGGTTCAACAGAGGATTCTAGATAGATGCTGCGTCTGCTTTCGTTATGTAGAAGATCATTCGTTCTTGGGCTACAACACCGAACATTACGAACAAGCTTGGTTAGGCGTATAACAGCCAATTATGATAGGTTGAGTTGCGCACGATCTCAGTCGGATGGTGCTGCTATTATTATGTCGAGATGTAGCCATATGAGAGTAGTATTTGCGTACTGGTACCAATAGTTGCTTGCCTGCAACATGCTTATGCTTGTCCTCAAGCGCCGAGCCCTCCGCCTGACTGTTGTTTCCAGCTCTGCGCCATAGATAAGAGGTTGGAGAGATTGGCAGCTTGCTTGTCGTCGGCAGGGAATACATAGTCGATGTACTCCTCCCACGAGTCGTCTTCGAGCTTTCTCCGTCTCTTTGTCTTGCGCGGCATCTGTTTCTGGACCGCCTCCAAGTCCTCCGCAGAACCGTGCGTGCGCTCGAATGACAACCAGGCGTTGAGAAGTGATACGCATTCTTCCTTGAGATCGCGGTCTCGCATACTCTTGTGTGCTCGCTTGAAAACCTTGCGTGCCCTTGCCTTGGCCTCTTCGGTGACAGGCTGCTCCTCGTCCCCTTCTTCCTCGTCGTCTTCGGGAATGTTGATCTCGAAATGTGCGTAGCTGATCCAGACCTTGACGTGGCCCGTTTTCTCGAGCAAACGCTCGTAAAGGGCGCGTGTGCGTTCGTACTCGCCCTCCTCCTCCTCAAAGTCGATGTATGCTTTCCACAGTAGTTCCGGCATATCAAGCTGCTGTTGCTGAACGGCAAGCTCAAAGATGGCGCGTGTGCGATCCAGATCGTCCAAGCCACGTTCCAGTTCTGCGAATTTGATCCATGTCTGGCAATTAGCCGAGTTGAATTCAATGTGCTTCTCGTAGAGAGTACGGCATCGCACAAACTCAAACAGCCTGCGCTCCAAATCAATGTAGCCGTTGAAAATCTTGTCTTTTGGGCACATGCCTATAGCGCGTCCGAGAAGTTTTCGTGCCGCAGTAAGCTCACCTTGTCGGATCTCGAATTCTGCCGCCATAAGCCAGATTTTAGCAAATGTAAACCGCTTGTGCGGAATAAGACCCAGGCATGTGTTGTAAATCTGCCGTGTCCGCTCGACGTCCTGTCCTTCCATCTCTTCCCATATGGCGTAAAAGATCCACAGGTAGATATATCGTCGCCAATGTCGCTTCTCCTGTGTTGGTGGAACCTGAGCCACTGCTCTCTCGTATATGTCTCGGATTCGATCAGAGTCTTGAGAAGTTTCCTCGAGTTTTGCGTAGTCGAACCAAGCATCGTAGTTCTTGGGGTTTTCCTTGATAAGTTCTTCGTAATACACCCTTCTCTTGGATAATACAACATCCTCGACCCCATCCTTGTCACCAAATTGCTTCTCAAACGTTGTGTATGCCTTGTGGAGAATCATAGACTTTGATCGTGGCAAACGATCCAGAGCGTACTTGTATATCGCCCGAGCACGCTCATACTCTTTCAGCTTGGCCTCATAACGAGCATAGGCAATGAACAGTTTCTCATCGGCGAAGTCATCGCCCAGTGCTTCGACCGCGTCTCCAAATACTTCCCGTACCTGATCGCTTGTACCATATTCCTCCTCGAACTTGGCCCATTTGATCCAGTTCCGGGACTCGGGGTGAAGCTGAGTGAAGGTTCGAAAGATTTCTCGTGCGCGTTCGAATTCGCCGTATCGCTTCTCCAACTTGATATAGGAGCTCCATGCAGCCTCGTCAGGGTGCCATTGCATCCATCGATCAAAGACTTGACGAGTTCCGGGGATGTTGCCCAGCATCTCCTCCATGTACACATATTTGTACCAGAGCTTGTCAACTCGTGGCAATCTAGAGACGGCTCTGTCCAGCAAGTTTCGCGCATGATTGATATTCCTCGACTTCATCTCCGACTCGATATAGCGGATCCATAGCTGGACGTTGTTGGGATGGGCATCAAGAGCGCGCTCGAAAACGGACTCGGCGCGCTTGAACTCCTTCTGCTCAAGCTCCCATTGCGCATATCGCATCCAGTTGTTTAGGTTTAATCGGTTGCGTCGAACGTAATCCTCGAATTCCTTCCTCTTTCTCCCCTGAAACTCGTGAAGCTCTTCCAGATCAGCGAAGCGTTGGGTAGGCGCCTGAACTCCAACTTCTTGTCGGTCGACAGCTTCTCGGAGTAGCTGTTCGGCGCTGATTTGAACAGGCGCGGCGGCCTTGTTCTTGACCCTTGGGGGTCCCCTGGATGACTCCATCTTGTACTATGCGCGTTTTTCGATCAAGATTCTTGATGCAATCAACGCTGTCGATGCGAGGCGAAAGTAGGCGAAAGCGAAGGATGAATGAATGAATGAATAGCTACGATGGATAAAATTCCAGGACAACAGCGACGCGACGAGCCAGGTTCAAAAATTCAGGTGTGGCTATCCAATGAGACACTAGATGAAGCCACAATGATGTGGAGCAAGTAGGCCAGGATTGATTGTACATCTATCTACAATCAAGACTCGGGCATATTGGTTAGAAAGAAGAAGAACAAGAAGAAAATAGAATCGAAGAAATTAGCAAGTAATTAAGATGATATGTTGTTGCTTATAATCGCATCCTTCTTTATTCGCAGCTGGTCAGGCTGGGAGAAGGTCCGGAAATATAGACAGACAGACAAAGTTGTAGACCACTGAATTTTGGTGTAAGTTTAGAGGTCGTGTTTTTCCGGGTCCCGAGCTCATAAAAGGCAAATATTTAGCTTCGCTTTAATTTATCACTGTTTCATGACCCTCCTTCGCGACAATCACTCTCACTCATTCACACCATCATTTTGCAACGCGCCGCCATCATGTCGACCGACGCAGATGACCTACTTAACGATTTTGGAGACTCAGGAGATGAGGGCGAAGAGGAGAACAACGATGGCCTCATCCGGGATCAAGAGGCAAGTGGCGATCGCGATCGCGATGCCATGGAACTAGATGGGGAAGCCGAAGCAAAGAACGACGATGACCCCGATGCCGATTTGAACGACAGAGACGACTCCGAGGCGACAAAGGTCAAGGTCGAGAAGATGCAGCTTGGAGGAGTCAAAGACGTTCGAAGCGTGGCCAGTCTGATGCAAACGTTGGAACCAGTTCTTGAGGTTAGTACATATATCCCCATATCTTTTCTTGACGGTCGCATCATGATGAACGATTCGTTTACATCAGTTATTTTACGGAACAGTCCTGACGTATTGCCTCGAACGCTACAGAAAATCGCACATTTTCGATCGCAAGCCGCGACGCAAAACACCATCCAAGGAAATATCGAAGATCACCCCGAATATCATCTCCTGACACAGTCCAACAGCTTATCGACCCAGATCGATGGAGAAGTTGCCCTCGTCCATAAATTCATCCGTGATCATTACTCAACACGATTCCCCGAGCTCGAACGACTGGTCACGACACCACTAGAATATGCCAAGGTCGTCGCCATCATAGGAAATGGGCCTTTGGACTCGGAGAGCATCAAAGCACTGCAGACTTCGACCGACAATCCTCTGGGAATAACTCTCAAGTCTGTTCTCGATGGACCCTCGCTCATGATTGTGACGGTCGAAGCCACGACGTCTAAAGGTCATGAAATGACTTCAGAGGAGCTTCAGCGCGTCTACAGAGCGTGTGAGATGACTATATCTCTAAATAACGCCAAGCAAACGTTGGCAGAATACGTCCAGTCGCGCATGAACATCTTTGCGCCTAATTTGACCGCTCTCATCGGTTCCCTTACTGCTGCCCAGCTTCTCAACGCAGCAGGCGGACTCACGGGTCTCTCAAAGACGCCTGCCTGCAATATCGCCAGTTGGGGCTCCAAGAGGAAGCACTCAGGAATGGCTACAAATATCGGCGTTCGACAACAGGGTTACCTCTACAACTCAGAAATGATCCGAGCCATTCCTAGCGACCTGAGGAAGCAGGCCTTGAGAGTTGTGGCAGCTAAGCTAGTCTTGGCTGCCCGGGTCGATCGTATACATTCGAGCCCGGACGGGTCTACAGGAGAGGAGCTTAAGTCAGCGTGTCTCGAGCGCCTTGAGAAGTTGACAGAACCACCGCCCAACAAGGGTCAGCGTGCGCTTCCAGTCCCAGACGATAAGCCATCCCGCAAGCGAGGTGGACGACGTGCCCGCAAGGCAAAGGAGGCACTCGCTATGACCGACCTTCGTAAGCAACAGAACCGCTTGGCTTTTGGCAAGGAGGAGAAGGAAGTCGGTTATGGACTTGGCGAGGGGACTGTTGGTATGGGCATGATCGGACAGTCCAATGACGGTCGTATCCGAAGTACTCAGATCGACCAGCGTACCCGAGCAAAAGTCAGTGCCAAAAACAAGGGCTGGGGCGGAAACAGCACCGTTGGTGGTGCTGCCTCGTCTATCGGTGGTTTTGGCCAAGCATCCAACATTGATCTACGGGGTCGCGGACTGCGGGCAACCGGCGTCGGCAGCACGGTTGGATCAGGGACCGGTACATCGTCATCTCTGGCATTTACCGCTGTGCAGGGTCTGGAACTCGTTGATCCTAAGACGCAGGCCGAGCTTAGCAAGAAGCGCAAAGCTGAGGAGGACAGATGGTTCAAAGGCGGTACATTCACGCAAGTTGGGGGATCATCGAGCGGTAATGGCTTCAAGGTACCAGAGCTTCCGGCAGCCAAGCGAGTCGATACAGGTTCGACCAAAACAGGTTCCTCAGCATAGAAATAATCGAAGTATAGCATCATTATTATTAAGAGACGGCGGTGCGATACGGGGCAGTACTGTATACTACGGAATGGCGCGGCATGTGACAGTATTTTACTGTGAAAAGATGGAGGGTGGATCGCCATGGGAAAGTGCTTGAATAGCATGAGCAACATCACATTTGCATCATCACGATCATCGCCGATGATGTATGTATCGCATCAGCTTGCAATTCGCGGAGGTCCCGCATCCAGCTTGTACGTACCACAATACGACGCTATCCATAGCTAAAGCTACTCCAACCAAACAGCACCAACGAAAAAGAAAGAAAGAACCATTAATTTTCCCAAGGCGGGTGTCCGGCGAACAAGGCGTTTCAGGGAGAGGGACTACGAAAGACTAACAACAGCGGGGAAAGTTGGGAAAGTAAATTAGCTGTACTTGAGAGTAGCTCAAATTCGATGATAACTCTTGAAATGTGTTGATTGATCACATTGAGATCTGTACCCAAAGTGGTAATAATAATAAAAGGAAAGAAAATAAACATGCTTCGTCAAAGTTTCGCACACGAATCGTAGTTGCTGGGTTAATAGCTGGCTCTGTTCAGTAAGTGGACAGGCAAACGGGCTGAGGTAGCAGCAGAGGGCGGTTAGGTTAGCCCAAACCGGGGGCGACTGAGAGTGAATATAAATCAACAATCTCGATCGATCGACAGTGATCATCGAATTTACTACCAGCGTGACCTGTCAAACGAAAACATGGTTGCAGCATATTGGTCCCTTTTTAATTTTTTCAAAGGATGATTATGCCATGCCACATCACGAGAGGTCCTTTGTTTCCAGTCGCACTAGGGACGCATTCCTAGGTTCCGAGACGTTAAGATATCCGTGTTGCGGTTGCAATGTAAGCATATGGTTAGGCAGCCAGTCGCTTGCCTTGGCAGATTCGCTGTGTTGCAATTACAGGGTAACAGTCGTATTTACAACTTCAACCTGTTGTGTAGAGAACACATTCCTGGCTGGCTGGCTGACTGTCGTCAAGCCCGTACGGGAACCCTGCTGTTGTTTCGACAAGGGCAGAGACCTTTTACACCGCCAGAAACGCTTGTTTCAGGGTATCGAGATGTGAGAATGCCGTATTGTAACTACTATCATGCTCAACTTGTAAGCTTGCTGTATCTGAATGCACATACTACTAGATACAATGCGCCGTTACCTAGAACAAGCAAAGTTGGCAAGATCAACCATCAAATGACGACTCTAATCAACTCACCCCTTGTTGCACATTCACCCTCGCCAACTGACTATTGAAGATGTTGCGGTCTGACCAATAGGGCTCATTGTCCTGCGACAAGATTATCAACTTCGTGAGAGATGAACATGGTAGAGAAAAACCAGATAATCTCGTGCTTCACGAACAAGATAATGAAGCAGACTAGCACCGCGAAGCTATAGATTAGGTTTTGGCTAGCAATAGGATAGCCGTCCGTAGATATTGCACCGTGAAGAGGAGTTTCCCACTGCCAAACGAAGTTATCATGGCGTGGTATTGTGACCCCGCGTATCCAATACCGAGCAAGGGCTCTTGTGCGGCCGCGAGCTAGCCCCACGAAGTAAGCAAGGAACAAAACATAGTGAGTGGTACAGCAAGTAGTAGAAACAACAGACAAAACAACAGCTGGAACACTCCCTGATACATAATTGCGAACGTGATAAAGACGTAGCGCCTTTCGCGCAGTGCTTCCATCGATGAATGCATAATGGGCGAGAATACTATAGCAACCATCGCTTGCTAGTACCAATTTAATGTTGCAAATAGATATTGAGAATAACACTAGAGTGAAGGGGGGGAAAGGCAACATATCCACAGAATAACCCGACGTTAGATTCCATTGCGCCTGTGCCCCGGTAGTCCCTGGGCAGAATCAAAAAGAACGACGCGCGGCGAAGCGGATCGAAGATGGACGTTATCACAGAAAGGCGGTGATAACCAGCCCTGGTATACACTTGCATGACCCCGGAGAGCGCGAGAACATCAAAGAACAACAGGCCCCCAAGCAGTATCGGCAATGCTACAAGAATTGATGAAATTGCCAGCAACCAAGCAGACCCTTGTAGTGCCCGGACTGGCTCCCACTGGTTGATGGCTCGCCGCCTGGCTCCGGTCGACTGGTTTGGCTTACGGCTGGTAGCCGCTTGTACCTGACAATCTATCCTCAAGGAACCAAGAATACTCTCAGGCCAGTGCTGTTATTGGTCCAAGAATGCTGAACGTCCCGAATAGAGGGGCCCAAGCAAGCGAGAAAGGACAAGGCATCACATCATGGTTCAGCGGCGTCACAGGCGAGGTCCCCTAAATCCTCTTCTCTCCACCAGTTATCCTGTCCTAGGACCAGTCTGAGTTTGGTCCCTCCCCCTGCCTGCCATGTGTGCTTTGATGGACGCTGTGGACATGTTGAGTGGTGAGAGGATGATCGCCGGGGTCCTCTGAATTTAGACGAGCCCCTTGTTCTCTCCGGGCCCTCTTCTCCGGCGCAATACCTTCACGCCCCTAATACCCTTGAAATTCTGTCTCATAGCCCATCGGTCACTGAGGCGGCGGGACCCTTAGGAGCCACGCGGACGGGACCGATGAGGCTGCCCTGCCAGGGCATCCGACACCAAGCGTGCTCCACACAGGGCAGCACTGAGAACCCCAAAAGAGACCGATTCCCCTCCTGTCCCAAGATCCCAACTGAGCGTCGTTGACTCGATCCCCTTCGATGCTTCGATCGCGCTCAGTGAGAGCCGATGCGCTGCCACTGCCGCCATTCACCATGCCCCCGCTGCCCAGGGAAACAGAACCCTGGCCGACATTCATTCAGCAACTAAGCTTGGCTGATACATGTTGACTTTCGGTCATCTGCGCACAGCACTGTTCAGTCCTATCTCCCCCTGTGTTAACTGAACGAAGCCTGTACACACCTGCTTGGTTTTCTGGAAGCCCTTTCATCTCTATAAACCCGACTAGACTACAGCACAGGCGCCAACCATTGGACTGGATCTCAAAATCTTGTCGTGGCCGTGCAACAGGAACGCCTAATTAATCCTACATTTTAGAATGAAACAGCGCATCCAAGGCAATGCTCATTGATCAACGGAGTCAGCGGTTGTTTCGAACCCCCATCCGTATAGGAAGCCAGCAGGCTGTCTTCTCGATGCCTAATTTGGTTACTTAGACATCGATAAATTCCCTTACATGGCAGGAGGTCATGGGTCACAATCGGTGTCTATGCTCCCAGTATGGATACTGTATCAAGATATCCTGATTTGATCCGGGCAATTGCGTCATCGGAAGTAGATGGAAAGCCTGCCACCCTGGGAACTAGCATGCATAGCTTAATATTAACCGGGACATACATACTGGCAGAGGCTTGTAAATCTGGAGTGCTTGTTGCATACAGAGAGACAAGGTAGTTGACCTGGCACAAGGTACCAGATCGAATTAGACAGCGATCCTGTGAATAGAGTAGTGAAAATGGTTCGTGGCTGCGATGGGATTGCCAGTGCTCATCTGATACCCTCAAGCCTCGTCAACCGAGACAGTTTTGTGTCTGTCTGAGCACAGATAGTGGCGCTCAGCCGTGTTGAGGATTCGGTGACGTCAATGGTCAACGACGTAAGTGCCATAATATGCCTGCAGACCATTCTTCAAGGCAAAAAAGAGGCGTCTCCGAATGATATCTCATGATGGAGGGACCCTGATCGTTCCAAGTTCAGGGTTCCAAGAACTCCATACATCTTGGTTGACAATCCGGAGCAAAACCGCCGGAGGGCTGACCAGATTTTTCGTAGATCGAGGTTGATTGACGAGTTTGGACAAGGACTACGATTGTATTGGACAAAGATCTGTGAACATCATCTTTCGTCGTAAGCAACCCTGGTAAAGGTTGATGCAAAGTAAAAGTCAATTCTGCGACGTAAGAGGGGTGTAACGAAACAAGGCGAGGCAAGGTCTAGCCAGTATGCTTGTGCTAGACCAGGGTTGATCAGTCTGAATGGACCAGTCAACTTAAACGGAGGATATGCGAAACCTCCTCATTCATCAGGTTATCAGCAAGTGTCATTTTAGTGCGGTTGGACTGGTGCCCTTCAACATGGCCATTCTGCCGAGATGGAGAAAAACCAGTACCTAAACTGATGAAAATTCAACTCGTTAAGTCTTCAACGCTCCAGTTGAGACACCTTTTGAACCGGGGGTTAGACTCCATGCCCATGGAAAGCAAACAGGAAACCACAACAGGGCCCTGTAGAAAAATCAAAACGGTGCATAAGATAGAGTTGCCAGGTGGGTTATTCGGAGGGCATCCGCAAGCTCATGATTGGCCAAAGACCAACCTCAAAACAGTTTGTAATTCCAAAAACGCAACTCTGGTGGTGCCAAATCAGTATGTATGTATGGAACGAATATCACCAGCTCACAAATAATATCTGTAAGATAGAATGACTTTCCTCCTGCGATGAATAAATTTCCAAAGACGGCAAAACCGATCATGACGGTGAACCGACGGACTTGATTCTGATCGTATTGCGGCCGGTGCTGGTGATGGTCGTAAACAGCACAAATGTTGGCATTCACCCTGTCTCCATAGGAAAGCCATACACCAACTACTCCCTTGATCGCCATTTATCGATCTTTCCCGATTATTGGCTGTCAGAGTTTTCTCCCCCCCCCCCCCCCCCCCCCCCCCCCCCCCCAGTCTTGATGGGGACCCTTGGGGCGACCCTGGGAGCGTTAGCGTCAAGGGGATGATTGTCCGTTCCCCGCCCCTCCACATCTGCCCGCTTGCGATGCAGTTGTAAACAAAACCCAGCATTTTAGGGGTGCTTATGGGAAACCCACTGACGCTCTGCTCCATTTGCAGCCCGCAACCAGCGACAGTCCTTGAGGGTTAATATGGGGGCACGTTCCCCAGAGCTAGAGAGCGTGGCAGTGTGGCTAGTAAGGCAGAGGCACATTTGATTGATTGTATTGTTGTGTCCGTTGTGACCATGAAGCTTTATTGACTCAGAGGAGGGGTTGCACTTTAACCTCAATAGCTGGCCTTGTCACCATGACGGTGTTCTTTGCTCAATATATGGTCAGCCCCCTCTCGTATGTTGCATGGCCAGCCAGCAGATGCCAGAAGTTCATCAGTGGCTGTATCTGTCATTGGAAGTAAGCGAGCTTGAGCCGAGAGCGGGAATAAAATCTTAGCTGCAACAGCAAACAGGAGCTGCCATTATTATGTAACACCTCTCCTCTCTAAAGACGCTCGATGTACGTCCGGTAAATAACCAGGCAGCCAGGCCATTCCAATGCTCCTAGATGTTGGTGATGATTATCTTCCGGCGTTGAACTTGAGTATGGAGAAACCCTGGGGACACAAAAGGGATTTGCAGGGTCCGACCAATATCGCTGCAGACATTATCCTGGAAACAACAGGATTGGGCCCTGCATGAGCCATGAAATAGACCTTTTTTTCTGTCGTACTGTAATACGTACTTACCTACCTTTGGTGTAGCCGTTGTGGCTTCATTTACCTGCAAAGAGGGGTAGCATGTGCCTGAGTGCATGTGCAGTGCGGGCAGTTGTCCATGGCAGAAGATTATCTGGACAGTACTGTATCAACAAAAAATCTTCGACAGCCTGGACCTCTAACTAACGTCTTGTTGTTGCGGTGTTGACGTCACTATGGTGCGATAGAAAGGCACTGTAAAGCTGTCTGTACAGTGTTTCGGTTTCCAAGTAAGCTATAACGCAGCTGGACACAGAGGTAGGTACTTTGTTCCAGCCACTTCCCACCTGGCTCAACTGATCCGGTTATCCGTCATGGTGACGCCTCATAGCTTGGGATCGAGATCACAGTTTGGAAATCAGGGTCCAGAGGTCCGGAGCGCCGTTCCGCGGGATAGGTGCAGTAGTCTGAAGCACCTCATCAGCTGGGCAGCCAGGCAACATGTCCAATGTCAACGATGCTAATTGCAGGAAAGGTCGTGACGATAAAGTATTGCGCCGCGGCAGTCTCAGTGTAGTTGAGAGAGTTTCTTATCAATGCAAAAACTAGTTGGATTTCTGAAATGAGTTGCAAGACTGAGAAAGTTAGCTTGTTGCAGTGGAGATGGTAAGTACGTAGCGAGGCATTGTGTGATGGTCGCATCAGGAGGGTCCGATGCCCCCCAACGTAGCAAGGACGTTAGATACGGGCGGCCTGAAGTAAAACGGAGCAAAACAAAGCATGTAGAGCAAGGTAGGGTAGGTGAGGTTCAAGAATAGCTCCTGTATTATCTGTAGGACGTTAGCGAGTGATCGACATCGTAGGCCTAAAGGTTGAGTAGCCAGTCGCCCGTCCAATTTCCTCGAGCGAGTGCCATTTAGGGAAAAGCGTTCCCAGCATCAGCGGTGGCTTGCGCTAAGCAAAGGTCAAAATCAAGCCCTCGGGCTTATGCCCCAGTGGCTCCTCTGGGTGTTGACCCTGTTTTGTGGTTACTCCATAGATCCTCAACCCTGGCAGGAGCTCCAAAAGAGAAAGAACGAGAGAGAATGTCTAGAGTCAACCCTGTCCGTACAGCTGGAAAGAGAGCCCCCGTCCTTGACAAAATGACCCCACACCATGCCGTGTCAATGTCCTACCAAGCGTGCTGTTTTCTCGCTGGATGATTTAGAAACAAGAAAAAAGCAACAAGAAATGGAAAACGGGAACGAGATGATAGAGAGATAATTAAAAGGAATGTTTAGTTCAGAGGTCGAGCATATGTCTTCTGTTCTTTTCCTTAGTATCAGCAGCTTCAACTTTCTAGTTCATAGGTAGTCAGTATTTTAGGAACGATACCATACGGTATAACTTGATGCGGAACAAAGAGGTGAATTTTCTTTCTTTTTTCTCCTCCTTTCCTTGCTATGATGGCCCAACGTCCTCTACATACAGTACCTTACCCACTGCTGGAGGTAGTAGCTCCGACCAAAACCGTCTCAGCGGTCGCTCACGCCTGTCGGTCGAACCTTGCCTTGGCTACTTAGGACAGTGGACACTGGATAGGGACAGATGGTGAGGGGGAGCGGGAGCTTGCTGATGACTCTCAGGGCAGGTGCCTCTTTGGAGAGTTTCCCATGTAGCAATGCCATGCCAGGCCAGGGTTTTGTTGGAAGACAGGGTACACTAACCGCACCCCCTTATCTGTGTGTGTTGTAACAAACAGTAGAAGACGGAGACTAACAGTGGGAAAGAGGGAAAGAGGGAAAGAGGAGAAGTGTGAAAAAAGGTTTAATGGCACACCACTACCTGCCGTTAGCGGTGACGGACCCCATCCAGCCTGTGGCTCGTCCAAGCTCAGTTACGTCCATTCATCGTAACTTTCAACTCAGACTCGACTTTTTTCTCGATCTCATCGATCGATGGGGTTGCGCAGAAAATCCCATGCTTGGTTTCTCACTCCAATTCTATCCCTTCCTTTCCCTTCTTTTTACTATGCTCTGCTCTACTGTGCTGCAACCTGTACCCCCCTCCCCTACAGGCGTGTGTTTCGCTCCCCTTGATTTCAACGGGTTACTTATAAACTTAAGCTCCAGCCATCCATCAGTTCCAGCCTCGCTTCGTTTGATGTTCCTCGACTTCTCACTCCTCGTACATTTCACCATTATCCCCTTACGAAACTGCTTTCTCTCCAGAGTTGACCATATATCATTGGATACTTGATTCAAAATCAACACAGTCCATTCTTATACTACATTGTCTCCAGTTGCCCTTTCTGTCTTTTTCGGTTGTTGCTCCCTGGATTTGACTTGTCTCTTTCGACTCCTCAGCAACCTACACTATCCAAACAACAACAACAACGCTTCCTAGCCAAGACTACCGGAACTTGCCTGCTTTTCTACATCTCTGCAGTATATGAACTCTACACCAGACGCCTTGCTACCTATACATCTGTGGAAACATCCGCAAATTCGTCACCGCCAAAACTACGTCTCTCTCCCTTTGCAAACGCTGCTGAGTATCCCTGTCGCCTTTCAGGTACACACGCAACAGCCCACGAGAAACCCATTAGTCTCGTGTTCCTAAAAGCGGAGGCAATTCTGAGCTATCAATCCCTTCCTTCAGTCCCCCGAGTCTAGACAGGCTCCGCGACTAGCCATCCCGCTATTTAGTCCCGCTTCACTCCACTACGCCTGTGCTGCCACCACATCCAGTCACATAACATAGTATTAGAGTCCCCCTGGCCATACCAACAGTCGCTTTTCTACCAATTCTCCAACTTTACACTCAGCATATTCACAACAGGTTCGAAAATGACGATGCACGCAATTAACGCCGCTGGTCGAAGGATCTCGCTCTTAAACGACGAAAGCGCCTCCCAACAAACCCAACCGCAACAACAAAGACCTCCCCTCAGCTTCCACTCCAGCTATGCTTTCAACCAGTCTTACCCCACCCCCAGTAGCAGTTCTTCTTCACCCAACACCCCAGAGCTCTTGCGCTCCGACTCCTATGACTCTCAAATGAGCAATGACCCCGTCTCTCCCATGACTCCCAACGTGGATTACTACCCTCGACAACAAGTTATTTACACTATTCCTCAAGACTACAACATGGACGCCAAGCACGTAGCCTACGCCGACAGTGCCCGTTCGGCCTCATACGACGCTGAGATGGTCAGCCAACCCCGATCCTCGCCTATGCCCGAGCGCCCCGGAAAGCGATACCCCTGCCGCTATCGCGACACTCATGGCTGCGAAAAGACCTTTACAACTTCTGGCCACGCCTCGCGCCACTCCAAGATTCACACTGCAGAGAAGGCTGTTCAATGCACCTTTGCGGGATGCCAGAAAAAGTTCACTCGCGCCGATAATATGAAGCAGCACCTTGAGACGCATTTCAAGGACAAGAGCCGTTCTTCCGGTAGTCAGCGCAGTCACAGAACCTCGCTCGCTGATGCTCGCCGCAACTCTACATCTGGTCGTCCTTCTGCGAGCCGCACATCCTCGTCTCGAAGTCGACGCGATGCCGATCCCTACCCCCTTCCCACACCCCCGCTGGCCTCGCCCAGTATCAACAGCGGACCCTGGGATATGAGTGGCCGTAACCTCCCTATTCTTAACCGCCCTGTCTCTGGCAGGACCCCCAGCGGTTTAGATGCTCTCGCGATGGCTGTCGCATGCCAGGAGGGCGCAGGCGTTTGAGCGTCAGGTTCCTCACCCCTGACACTCAAAACTCACGGCATAATTCTATTGATAATCTTAATCCTCGACAAAAATCAATTTCTTTTTTTAAGGATCTTCTTTGGCAACTTCATCTTTGGCGCAAAAACTCGACTTTATGACTCGTCTCTCAAAAACATGATGCATTCCCTATCTACTGGATTGTTTCAATCACGGCGTTGTGAGAACACACGATATACAACCCGAATTATATGGCGTTCACGGTTATTTTTTTCGGACTTGAAAAAGGCTTCAATGTTTTTTTTTTCCTTCAAGGGGAAGGACAGTGTGCACGTATACGAATGGCTACACAAATGATTCTCTCATACAGTACACATGGTTAGATAAACGACAGGATACGTCCCTCGGAGCCACAGATTCGAAGGCGGAAAACGCATGGCGTTGGCGGGGTTTTATGATATGATGTTTCCAACTTTATGTTCAAATATAAGATGGGGGGAAGGACGGATTTGCTGGCTGTCTCTTGAAACCGCCTCACACAGACTTATTTGTAAGTCGGGGCAGAAGGTGATCTTGGCGGCAGAGCGATTTAGTACACACTTATCGCTGTTCCCATTTGCCGTTATTACGAGATGGCAATACTTTATTCATGTACAAGTTGCTTTGCTAGTTGAAGAAGCATCGTTACCGGTGCTTAAAGAGTTAGACGAGGCACTTGAATTGTGCACAATTGATACCACTTTGATTTTTATAAACCTTTTAACCTTCAATGACTATTGGAACATTATCAGCAGCCCAACGGTTAACAGTTCTATGTACTTACTTGCCTTGTATCCTGAATCCCCCCGAATTCCCGCAGATCCCGAGTGGAAGATTGTCATAATGCAAGTCACTTAAAGATTTGCGTCATTAACTGTGAATGACTTTTCACTGGTTTGTATACACACTCTCTATCTATTAAGTCATATATATCATCACTACCACAACCACCATCCCTGTGGTGTCGCATCATTCCCAAATGTCTTCCTTTTCGGCGCACAACCTGGCCATCTCTAGCTGCTCATCTGTCTGACAAACCAACACTCGTTTTGAAGCATCGCGTTCACCCAATTCCTGGACAACGTCCTTGATAGGCTCCTGGTTGCTGGCATCGTTAAGGGCAAACCCTAAACAGGCCACCTGGTTGACAACAGCGGAGCGGAGCTTAGCACTGTGTTCACCGATACCACCAGCAAAGACCAGAGCGTCGACGCGGCCCTCGAGGGACACAAAGTAAGAACCGACGAAGGCGGCAATGCGGTCAACAAAGATGTCGAAGGCCAGGCGATGGTTCGGTTCATCCGAATCGGCGACGACGCCAAAATTTGTCGTACCTGTCATGGACTTCCAACCACTCTCCTTGTTGAGGATCTCCTCAGCCCGTGAGATGTGAAGGTGCTTAGTGGATGCAGGAGAAAGCTTCCCCACATCGGAGGCATAATGGAAGACGAGACTGTAAGGGTGGCTGGGGTCAGCATGCAAGAACCTTAATCTAGAAAGAGACCCTTATTGAAAATCCCACCCTCTGTTTGCTTTTGGATCTCATCTCATGTATGATCTGATGAGAGTAGTATCCCGCCGCATCCGGTGGGGCCTCTGGGCTCTGTATGGGTATCATCATCTTAGGCACTGGGCGTCTTACCTTGGATCAACACTGCCACTTCGGGTGGCACCAGGAAGGCCCGCCAAAGGCGTCAGCCCCATGCTCGTATCCCAGCTTTTGCCGCCCTTAATGGCGCACGCACTGGCACCGCTACCAAGGTGCAGAGCGATCATGTTTAAGCTGCTGACATCTCTTTGAAGATAATTGGCGACAGATCGGGTAATGAAGGCGTAACTGATACCGTGAAACCCATACTTTCGCAGGCGGTTGCTCTTTGCAATTTGGGGGTCAATAGGATATGTATAAATATGTGGAGGTAGAGTTTGGTGGAATTGTGAGTCGAAGCAGGCGACGTTGACCGTGCTGGGCAGAGCGCTGATGCAAGTATCGACGATACTCAAGGCAACGCCATTGTGGAGCGGTGCCAAATCACTGAGTTCTTCAAGATGATGATAAGTATCTTGAGTGATGACTTGAGATCGGTCGTAGTCGCCGCCATGAACGATACGATGACTAGCGATGGCGATGTCTCCCTTTGAAGAGATCTCTTTCAACTCACTATCATCGATGAAGGTCTTTAGAATGAGGTCAAAAGCGTCACCCTGGGTCTTGACGCTTTCAGAAACCTCCTTCGCCTTGAGCACTTTTTCATTGCCACGGGAATACGCAAGAGTTGCTGGCGGTGCAGTTAGACCGCCAACTGATGCTTCGGCGATTTGGTGAGGCTCTGCATTCTTATCTGCAGTATATACCGATATCTTGACCGAACTGGAGCCGGCGTTGATTGCGAGAATAACCTTCATGACTGGCGTAGTGATGTTGGGAGAGGCTAATAAGTGAAGGTTGAGTTCGCAGTAGTTGTGTCAACTGAGTGAAGGGAGCTTGGGTTGAATTTATGACCCATCTATATCATTCATGGTAGGTTATATCTCCATGACGACACAAGCTCTGTGGTCTGATCCAGGCACCGCGGGGTGATGAGAGTTGATGTGGAGCCCCGAGCATTCCAGGGCCGTAATCTGCCCACAGACAGCAACGTTGTACATGCCTCTTTTGATACTCCAACCAATCCCACGTGGGCGGCTGCAGATTATCACTCAGTCGGTCGACGTTTTTTTACTTTGACAGATCAAGATGTGAGCTGTCAGTGTCGAACTTTGTTGCAGCTGTCACCCCACCAATCTCTGACCACGCACTGCACCGCAACATGAACATGTGGTCCGGCTCGGTGGTGCAACTGGTTACAGGTTATATATACCATCTGACTCAAACTCGGCTTTTCAAGGCGTAGTGTCGGTCGTGTCCGAGGGTTCTGGTACCGAGTCGAGCGCGTGGTGAGGCCAGCCAGATACTGGTAAATCGGGAGAATGTCCCGGCAAAATCTGCGGCGAGGGTAATTCGAAATGGTTCGGCGGGAATGGGATGCCGTTGAATTCGCGGTCCGAACTGTGGCAAAAAAGCCATGTTTCGATGAATCGACGATACTCTGATGACCGTTAGCTGATAAGTCGGAGGATCCTGGCAAAGTTTGTTTACCTTGGCGTTCAGTAAATTGGACCGCTAGATACCGTATGTCAAGAGCTGGCTGCTGTACTGATCTTGGCTCCGAAGATTCACTTGCTCTGGTTCGAGATCGCATACGACGTGGTAACGAGAAGCGCCGGTGTGAATTACGGTCATCGCCCGAACTGGGTCGTCGACCGGATGCACTCAGTCGAAGTTGCTTTGCACGGTCATCCCTCCCACGAAGCTCACCATCGAAACAGTGGATATCATATTCTCGATATTGACCATCCGTCTTATTCGCGAATACACTGAGCGAGTGGAACGTGGTATATCGATCCCTCCACAACTTGAGCCTCTGTATCGCACCTATGCCCTTCACCTTGCCAAAGCCGTCTGTGCGTCCATGAACATTGGTCCAGACGACGTCGGCATCGAAGAAATCGATCAGGTCCTTCCTGCGCAGATCCCCCTGGAATTGGATAGAGCTTTCAACTGTCGTAAACTCGTATCTGATCGTGACGTATTGGTCATGTATACAAACACCTTCATCAGTGGTGTATCGAACTCGGTGAGGTTCCTGAAACGTCAGGTATCGTTCCATGTCGGAGGCATCGTAGTATGGGCGATGGCGCGAGTGCAGCGTATGTGGGTGTATATCAGAGGGGACATCTGAGGGCACTGAGAGGAACCTGAGTTAGCTGAAATTTCATCCGAACAGCTCCTTTGGGTTTCGACGCACAATAGTGCTCGAGCAGTTCGTTCTGATAGCTGCCCTGCCAGAGAACACGACGCTGCTCAGAACCCACTACTTCCCAAGGCCCGAGGTAAACAACCCGTTCGTCAGGAGTATCTTGAAAGAGTATTCTGCGATACTGGTATCAGCAATGTGAGACATCAATTGGGTCAACAGCGTTCGCACATTGTTGCTTGGAACCCAGGAGGTCCAAGATCAAGTACTGAGGTTCTAGTTCCCGATCCCTCGGTGGTTGGAGCAGAAATAGTCGATATGCCGGAGGTTGGAGTCCAGGTTGAATCGACCGGACTGACGTACGTTCTTCCATAGGTAGGCGGGCGACCGAGAGACGACGAAGTAAAAGATGAGCCCGAGGACGACATGCTGTCGCTGGTAGCAGTCGAGGGCGATCTGACTGACCGAGCGGTGGGGACATGTCATGACACGGTTACAGCGGCATATGACGGGTGGTTCCAGCCGGTGCTATCTTGAAAATCCCAATTACCAGCCCTAAGACTGCTATCGCGCCTTGCCTTGACTTGAGCTTCTAGCAACGGTAAAACTGGCTGTGATAAAGCTTGTGAATATAGGAACAGGGATTGGCAGGCCCTTGGCTGCAGCAGCCTTGATATTACCAATGCCTAAGCCGGCGCAAAGGCAAACTCTTGATAATAGAGCAGCGATAGAACGTGGAGGCACCGCTCACACTCAGTCAGAATAAACTTGGGCACTAGATTGGGGAAGAGTGGTTCTGAAGGTCGCTTGCGTATTCACCCACCCCCTCTGAGACTGAAACAGAAAACTAGGTAGGCAGAATTCAACTTCCTGGACCGGTACTAGGCGAGTGAAGATGAAGCTCACGCACGTACAGAGACTGCGCATGAGCATCAATGTAGCCACGCCAGGCGATGACAGGACAGAATTAAAACCCAAGGATCCAAAGTTCCAGGAGGATTCCAAGAAGTCCAGATAACCAAGCCAAATTGTTTCTTGTTCGCCCATGGACATCTAGCTGTAAGCCAGCATCATACATGGCAAATTGATGGGGAGATAGATTCCGTAGAACGCGGTCGATTTCCACGGTCAATGAGAGGCACGTCGGCCTTGGTCTTCTCCGAATGCTAACGTTGAGACCCGCGTCAGTGGACGTCTAGCCACACATAGACAGGAACGCTGCACGCCGCCTGTTGCAAAGCTGAGGAAGGGTGAGTTATTACCAACAGAACCGAAGAACGTTGTGCAATTGACAGCCAAGGGTCGATGCCACATGGGCAGCTGCTTGTATTGGATTGGTGGTCCATTAACAGCGGGAGCATCGAGCACGGGGGCCAAGACGACATTCTGATGGGCCAAGAAAGCTTAGGTGTCGTGGGGCTCTTTTTCTTTAATTTTTGTCTTTGCTGGTTGTAGTTAGATCTTGGTACAGCATCAATCAGTTCCGAACATCTGGGCCGATATTGTTATTTGGGAATGCATGTTTCGAGTATTCGAAGGCTGCACAAATCTATTTTTGATTAGGAAATACCGTCATCATGTACTATTACAGTCCTTCTTGAAATATAGGTAGGTAAGAGCATTGCCAGAAAGACATCCATGTTTTTTCCAGGCAGAGCCGCGAAGCTAGCGTATTTTATTCCTTAGTAACAGGTAAGGAGGAGAAACATACAGTAGTACCCCACCTTCAAGGCACGAGCTTCCAGGAGTAAAGCCGGTTCAAAGACGCATATATCCGTGCTGGATCTTGAGATATGCATATCGGTAGTAATGTCCAACCGTCCGTGGTACATGTTCTCTTAGGCAGGACATTGATTTTATGTCATCATCGTGAACAGTCCTAACTTAAATTGGTATGTTTCTTAAACAGTACAGTTCCTTCATGGTCAACTCAAGGCTTAGGTACATTAGTAGTAGCACCTATCTGCCTTGTTGACCGCGTTCCTATCAACCAAGTTTCAATAACACGTGCCCCTTCCCATTAGCTGTCTTCCTCTCCTTCTAAGCCACAATGATTCCAGACTCAGGAGATGAGGCCTCGATAAGTCTATCCAAGATGGGGATCCGATTTGGGTAATTGTTAAATATGTACCCACACAAGCTAACGAATCTGGCTGGCAACTTGACCTACCTACCTACTTTAACCTACTATGCAAGGGACCCCTACGCAAACGTCTAGAGCGTCGTCCTTCCATTTTTCATTCTCTTTCCCTATCACTGTTTTTCCTATCTACCTGCCAGTCCGTCAGTAAATCAAGGATAATAGGTTCCTGTCACATTTAGTGCCCCATCAGGACCAGCTACTCGGAGACGGGCATAGTACGTGTAGTCAAATCCCACCCCATACTCAGTCCGCGTATATCGGCTCTCAAGCCCCGAGATACAAGGGTAGGCAGGTCATCATTAAAGGACGCTGCCAAGTGAAGCCAAGTGCGTCTTAGTAGACTGCCTAGGTAGTCAAGGGCCTCTTCAGCTCTAAAGGAAACCGTTATTCGCGGCGTGCACTTGGCGCACAGCACAGTCTTTGCTCAAGTGCCATACAGTTTTGTGATGGCATCCCACACCATCTATACTGCGCAGCTTGCTCCAACTTATCAACGACATTACCTTTCTGTTCTGCTCCATTCTGCTTCTAGTCCGTCGTACTATGGTCATGAGAATCACATCCGCCTCTCTTCTATCTTTGGGCATTGCCTATCCGCAATTCCAGTACCTGTCCTGACTTGAGCTTCTCTGAGCCTACTTCCTCCATTCCCTCTCAGGCCACCCGTGCTCATTGGAACTTTTGCGACGCGCTGTTTAACCCCCGCCACGAATCATGCCTCTTCTATCAAGATATTCATTGCGTCGGAACCGCGGTTTCCTGGGCTCTGATAGTTCGGCACTGCCATCACAAGATGCTCAAGTAAGTCTATGCGCTCAGCGTCATATCTCCATCTTACCAAGCAGCCCTGTGCCTGATTCTACAGAGCTAATGCATCTCACAGGATCGCCAACAACTACGTTACGAACTTGATTTGAATTCATGGAATTTTCGTATCTGGGGTGTTTGCGCCTCGGGCTTTCTGACAGACTCGTAAGTCGTCCTCAAAACTGATAATAGACATGCAACCGCCGTCACGTCGTATAACGATTGGCAAACTCCTGACTTTTCAAATCTAGATATAACCTCTTTTCAACCAATATAATTATAGCTTCGATCGCATTTGTTTATTGGCCCAATGGTCCAGAGTGGTCAGGCCTACTTATCAACTTCTTTACGCTTCTCGGGTCTGTTGTAGGCCAGGTCTTGTTTGGATACCTCGCCGATCGCTATGGTCGGACTCGCCTCTACGGCGTTGAGCTTGTGCTGGTTATCGTTTCAACGATTGGCGTCGCCACTAGCAGTCGCGGCTACAATGATCTTTCATTTCTGGGCCTATTTACTTGGTGGCGTTTTGTCATGGGCATAGGTTCGTGAGCCCAGTCTACTCTCACAAATCTCAGACGCTGACAAGACTGTCCCAGGAATCGGAGCTGAATATCCCCTTAGCGCAGTAATAACTTCAGAATGGTCCAGTACACAGTCTCGAGCTACTATGCTGTCCTCAGTTTTCATGATGCAACCCATCGGCCAGGCGCTGGCGCAGCTGGTCGGCCTATTTGTGCTTCTTGGCTTCCAGCGAAGTCACGATCTACAAGGAATGCGATGTGGTCTTGACAAATTGCACGAGGAAGAATGCAAGAAGGCACTGGACGGCGTTTGGCGCATTGTGATCGGTTCAGGTGCTGTGCCTGCGCTTCTCGCCATTATATTTCGTTTCTTCCTTTTCGACTGTGGTATCTACAGCCTGGAGGTTCGAAACAAACCAGGAATGGCTCTTGTAAACACTCAAAGGATCTACGGTGCCCCTCAGGGGGCCGGCGTCGAAGCCTTCCCCAATCATGGTGCGGCTGGTCGCTCCATGAGCGGTTCGGGCGACGGAACGAATTCGTTCCCGATGGGTCAGTTCAACCAGAATCAAACGCCGGCACCATATCAGATCAATTCGCCTGGTGGGAACAATGTCGCACCTTCGTATCGGGCAACTGATCTTGGTGATGGCATGCATCACGCCAATTCTTCACAACATACCATGCCCGTCCAGTTTTCGAGAGAAGACCTACACAACTACTTTATCCGCGATGGCAACTGGGCATATCTTTTGGGCACAGCAGCGACGTGGTTCTTTTTGGACGTTTCGTTTTATGGGATGAGCCTTGATAACAGAGGCACCCTATCGACTATGTGGGCAACGACTACACCGACCAAGATTGATGACTCCCTTGAATGCTGGGTGTCGTCACTCCGGGGGGGCAATTCGACTGTGCCAGATTGGGCCACCGATGGGCTTCCAGTTTGGTCGACCGACGCAACTCACCCCTGCAACACGATTTACGACGTGTTGATTGAGCAAACAAAGCAATATCTCTTGACTGTCTCACTCGCATCGATTGCGGGCAGTGCTTGCTTCGTTGTCTTCGCAAACCGCATCCCACGGCGCCAATGGCTCACGGCCTCCTTCCTCGTGCTGGCCGGCTTCTTTGTTATCACCGGGTGCGTCTACTATGGCGTCCATCAAAAGCAAGGCGCTCCCGCTACAGTTGTATGTGTGGCCATTTGCCACTTCATGTTCAACTTTGGTAAGTTGACTCATCTCTATACTTTTCTTTCTATAATGGACTAACAAGAGCTGTTTTGTTAGGCGCCAACACCTTAACGTTTATAATACCAGCCGAAATTTTCCCAACCTGTTACCGATGCCTCTGTCACGGCATCTCGGCGGCTGCGGGAAAGCTTGGAAGCCTTGTTGCAGTTCTTGTGGTGTACGGCATCAACCAATCATATCAGGCTGAAAACAGGCAGGGGCTCATATTCCTACTCTTTGGTTCAGTTGCGGCTGTCGGCGCTATTTTCTCCTGGGCATACTTGCCAGACTCACAACGCCGAGTCGAGTATGACGGGAAAACTTACCTTGAGGCTAAAACACTTGAGGAGCTGGGTGAAGGCAGAATTAAAGCTCGACTCGGTGGAGAGTTAGTGACGATTGAAGAGAAGTGGGATGCTATCAAGAGGAGGAAAAGGGGTTCAATGAGAAGTGATCCATCCGTGCCAGATGGTGCTGCATAGTCAAGAGCTGTGTTATATATATGGCCATTCATTGTTAATAAAAGACTACTACCGACGTGACAAAGCATCCCTGGTTTTGCATAGTTTGACTCACTCTCGTCATGTCCCCGAGAGAGGCTGGTACAGAGCCAGATATGTATATCTGGAAGCTCTTATTATACTGTCAAGCATCATGGCTTGACAGCCGTTAATCTATTCGTGTCTCATTACGTCGAGTCTCATCAATACACCAACCGTCTCATGGTATAGAGCATGGTTACTGGTGGTGGCTCTCACACTCCTGTCTCCTTCAATGGCGTCCAACCACTTCGCCCAGCGCGATTCAGCCGGTGGAAAATACCACCCGCGTGTAGAGACCAGAACTCTTGAAAGACGAAGAGCAAATGGCGCCAGGTATATGTCGACGAGGGAGAGATTCTGCCCGAGAAAGAAAGGCCCCTGAGGTTTGATGAAGTTAGCAGAATTGACCAGAAGTCGACAAACAAGGAAATACTGAGCAGGCAATGATCCAAAATTGAGCTGACATTTACCTTTTTATCAGCAGCTCTAACTAGGATGTCTATGCTGCCTTGTAAACGATCCGCAGCTTCATGCTCAAACCCCAGGTTTTGATTCTGCACTAGTTTGTGGAAATTTGGGACAATGTGATGATTTATCTGCTTCAGTCAATTTCTCTGCCCGACTCGGAATAGCCAACTCTTACATGACCTATCCACAAGCGACATTTGGCCTTTGATCTAGGATCTGAAGGAAGAAGCGGCACTCCCTGTCCCATATCCTCAAGCTACACACGACCTGTCAGTTGCATAGTTTGGGGCTTGAGCATTAGGGCTCTAAACTCACATATTCCAGCATTGCCGTACTGTCTGAGCATGTCCAGTCGTCATGTTTTATCGTAGGTACACATGCGCGGGAGTCGGCCAAGAGGGGTTCTTCTGCATTGCGGAAAGGGTTCGTTTCGCAATATTGGTAGGACATGCCTTTTGCTTCTAGGGCGATCCAGACGCGTTGTGAGAATGGACTAGAGCATCAGTATATGTCGCAACTCAAACAGTTACAGGGAGGCCATACCAAAAACATGCGGCATAGAGTTTGAAGTTGTTGTCCTTTGCGTGCTTCCTGATCGTACCAAGTGCGGCGCCTGTTGCCCTCATGTCGGACTGCTATACGGACCCCAGAGTTAGCGGCATTTTCCAACATGGGGTTCAGACTGAGTATACGAACTCCCTTAGCCTTCTCCTTTGCCTTGCTCACGCAACCATCCTGCTTCGTCAAATGCCGTTGTACGCTACTCTTCTTAATCTCATCGCTCCTCTGCAGCGTATGCTTGTGCGGTCCAGCCACACCGTCACCTTTACCATTGCCTCCGTTTCCATTAACTCTTTGTATGGTCCAAAAGCGCTGTCCCGCCAGGTCAACGCCTGAGAGGCTGATATCGCCGAGCTCTGAATAAGCGCTGGGAAAATGCTCTGTGATCTTGATCTTCACGTCACACAGATCAAGCTGACGAGCGGAGCGCTTACGCTTCTTCTTGTTTGGGTCAACAGACTTTGGTGTTCCTGGAGGACGGCCTTTCATACGACAGTCCCAGTAGTGCGAGATGAAGGGTTTGTGTTTGTAACGCTGTGTTGAGCGGTGAGAATAGACGTTGTCTACATGAGGGAAATATGTCTCAAACCTGGGAGCATTAGAAGATCCTCCGGATAATAGAGAATGACGGCTTTACTCTTCATGCGTAAGGATGATCGCCTCATCAACGTTGAATAACTTATCTCTCCATTCCTCCAGATTCGGAGGATCAACCACGATCCTGGTGCTTAATTGACCATTGGATCTCTCGACTTCATTTCCGTCTCTTCTAATCTGTGCACTGAAATTTCCTGCGGTTTGTTGTGCTTCCACCACTGGTGCAGGTACTGTTGTCGGCGCAAGTATACCAAACTGACCTGGCGTCGCGCGTGTAGCGTTAACGATGCCATTATGTACTGCGTTCATACGATATGATTCTTCAATATCGCGTGCAACGTAACCCTCCATGTTGAGCTGTAGTGCAACGCCGTACCGTTGTGGTATGTCCGATGCCGAAAACGCTGCCGACAGCCCGGCCCCGGAGGTAGAGACGGGGACGGGGATGGGGACGGACCTCTGAGGCGGAGTGTGCGGGGCTCTTCCAGCCATTTGCCGGAACTGGCAGTCTGTCCTAGATAGATCCACTATGGGTTATCTCAAGTGTATCCACGGCCAAAGCTTCTTTATTACCCTCTCAACGTTTATGTTGCTACTTTAAGACGCCCGTCACCTTGGTCGCTGTTAAGGAAGGAGGGGTAGGTGTATTTGAGCCGCACCTATAACTGTTGCACGGGCCATGTTGTACTGTACAGGTTAGTAGGTAGGTACTCTTGCCAGCCATTGGTTCTCATTCAGTACCAAGTAATGAAGAGATCACAACAAACCAGCCACATTCAAAAATCAGCAAAAAGAAATGCCTCGCTTGTTTGCAATCGTATTTATAGGAACAGCCCGATGCGGGGGTCGAACCCGCAACCTTGAGATCGCGTACTCGTAAGAGTCTCACGCTCTACCGATTGAGCTAACCGGGCGTGGCTCTTAATTGATTGATGTCAGACTCTGCAGAATCGTGTTTTGGCCTTGCCTAACTGCCTTTGCATTGATCGGCCTTGAAGATCGACACACCATCTAGCCCCCATTATACACCCGTTGTGAACATGAGCAGTGCAAAAGGTATGTCCTTCATCGGATTCTCCAACTCATATTTTACAACATAGTCGACATGTTCGTCCCGTATAAACGCCCCAGATGTAAATTCCCGGTCCGTTGCAGCTGTTCGTATTCCTCCCCTCTTTCATTCTTGACAAGCATTGTTGGTTTTTTCGAGGCTGGTTTTCGCCACTTGATTCCGAAAAGATTCGTCTCCCATATGAACTCCGTGTTGCTCCACTTCAGCTGTCCCTCGATTCCCACGTTCCTAAATCCATCGCATCCATAGATCCCATATTCATCAATGCTCTCAAAACACCTTCGCCCACTTGGGGAACGCCTGTCTGTCCGTGCATGTCCGCCCACCCATCCGGCATGCTGAACCCTCCGCTCTGATCCAGGCCTGGCGGGATAGCGAAACCAGATGTGTCAGCAAAGAAGCCAGGCGTGCTTCCATCAAGTACACCTGGGTTCAATAAGGTCTGATTCGGCGACATAGGACTTGTGTTAAACGAGTTGGCCCCTGATCTATTCATCTGTCCAGGGGCCAGATGATTCCGCTGATCGGACCCTGTGCTTGAGTTCGGTGTCGGTCGGTTTGATTGCATCGCGTCTGGGGACCCTGAAGTCTCCTGGCTATCACCTGCCATGTCCCCAAAGCCTGAAACAGCTCGACTTCCAGACCCAGTCTTCTCAAAAGTGGCTGCCGAACTAGGTGTAAGAATTGCTGGTATTTGTTGCTCTGTTGACATCCACGTCTGTGTTCCAAAGTTCCCATCGCCTGTAGCAGGCATACCTGTCATGTCGTTGCTAGGCTCGAGCATATCGGGTGGTCCTGGCTGATTCATGTCGTTCTCGGAGGGATTCATGTAATTGCATTCGTTACGGTACGCCGCTATGCCCTGGAACCCTTCAGGGTTGTCACATTTAGCGCCTCTGGGTGCTCCTGTTGTGCCAGGCTGGGTCACGTTAGCATTAAAATAAGGGTAATTAAGTTCGTGTTTACATACGCTGTCGTGGTTGCGTGGGAAAGCAGTCTTGAGCTTAGGAATTCTTAATGCAAGGGCTTCCAGGTCGACATCTAGCTGGACAAGGAAGGACTCCGTCAGCGGATTTCGCCGCTTCAGCGCATTCATCGCTGAGAGTAGGAATCGTAATGAGTCAGCTGTTTGACTATCGTCTGGGCGGCTCTTAAGGTATTGCACAAATACTCGCGCAGATACATATAGACAGAATGATATGAACGGGTTGACCTTGTAGCATGTTAGCCTCCGCACCGACAAAAAAGAACCTGTTTTGTCCTTACTGTTGAAAGATCCATGTGAGAAATCATGCGCATGATGCTAGCGATCTCGTTGGCAGCTGTGATGCATCGTACTTTGCTCTCAGCACTGACTGAAGCTGGCAGTTTGTTTTTCTCGGCCTTGAAGATGGCTGCCTGGTGTAAGCAGATGGTTGACGTGTGTATGCTCATGTTCGTAAAAACGATATTAGGATTAGATAGACCAGTAGGAAGCTTGAGTTGTGGTGGGAGGCAGAGGGATGTGTTGAGCAATATATTGTCCATCTGTCTGTGTCGCTTCCAAAACGGACCATTAAGGTCATGATCAAGATCGTCAGTATCAGGACGGTGCAGATGTACCAGGTTTCTGCCAAACAGACATGCCATGAGTACGATGCCGCCAAACGAAGAGAGCTTACCCGCACCCATCGGGCTGGTGCACTCGGACAAAGACTGTGTCTGCTCAGGCCTACTCATGTTGTATGCATCTTCTGAGGCTGGCAAATTTGTCATAATATCGCGCTCATCAATCGTCATGGGCCACCCTGTGCCAATGCTGGCATAACGGTCTTGGCAGAAGGCCATCCAAAATGTTCGGCGTCGTTCCTCTCGTTCTGTCCAGTCTTTGGGAGGTGCGAGGCATTGCTTTACGTCGAGACCCGTCCCGTCTAATCTATGCAGTCCAGTCCTGCGATGGTCAGTATTGGAAAACGACGAATTTGTGAGAGGTACACACATTTGAGCAAGACGGATAGCAGAACCCGTGTTGATCCAAGCTCGAGGAAAGTACATCATCTTCATCTCATATGAGGCCAAGAGCGTGTGTGTTTGACAGTGAGCAATAGAGATCATGTGCTCTCCGTAGCCCTTGATGTAGTCCGCTTCAACATACTTTCGCGCTCTCCTATAAAAGAGGTCTTTCAAATCCGCATACTTGTCTGTAATGGTACACGCGAGAGTCCACATAGCATATCGCAGACAAACAGGCGGCCTCTGATTCGGGGCGCTATAGGAACGATATTAGCCATTTACGTCTCAGAGGTGAAGGGGCCAACATACAGGTTCATAGCGGCGAGATAACGATACTTGTGGATCATCGGGATAGACGGGTGAACCTTTTCAAAGTAGATCTGGTGAAGCTCATCGATTGTGTCTTGTGGTGGCAGAGGTTCCTCGAGGCCTAGGCCAATCATTTCCCATGTGAAGGTTCCCCCAACGTTATTCATGCCCATATCCATACTGGCATTGAAGTTGAAATCTTCCATAACACCTTGCTGTGGCGACTTATCAGTAAAGTTCCACTGTTGATCCATATTGTGGTCTCCCGTTAGATGTATCGGCGCATTCGAAATGTTAAGGTTTGCGGGAGATGCCGTTTGAGGAGGACCAGACATGGAAACATTGGCGGACTTGGGAATATTTTGGGGAGGTTCCTGGGTTTTCAACAGCGTTTCGACTTGTTCTGCGTAGCATGTCAGCGATCGAAGTAGCTGATAGCATTTCGGGCACAAGACTCACTCAGTCGCTCCTCGAGGGCCTTCACGTAGCCACGCTTAGGGCCGCTCTTTCTCCGCTGTTCATCGTAGGCGCAAGTATGACCGAGACGTGAACAGGTACTACAACTGGGTCGCACACCATCACACTTGAGCTTGCGTTTCCGACATATCATACAGGCCAGTCGCTTTGGCTTGGGAACGCTGGCATTGTCGGGAATGTCCTGTTGAGGTACGGCGTCGTCTCCATCGGCATCATCGCTTCGAGGACGTTTATGACCGCTGGTGGCAGGTCCGTTTTCTGGTGAATTCGACATGAATAATTATGAATGGCCGATACGACGTTGTTGGTATTGATGTCGAGTTTGGAGGAGTGGTGTCGCGAGATAGGCAGTTGATAAGACGGTGGGGATAAGAATGCTCAGCGGGCTTTCACAGTCGTGGGTCCGCATCTGCCGGAACAAGACCCGGGTGCTCGAAATGGTCGATAAAGAAAGTATAGTATGTCGTGGAGATGGGATTTGGACGAGGGCCAGAGGCTGTTGAGTCTGGGTTAGGCCGGGACAAGTGCGGCGATACGGAACGCAAGCATGAAGAGATGAGATTCAAGCTCACCCGGGAGGTGTTGGGGAGTTAAGACGGAGGAAGGTGGGACCCTCAAGCTTAACTCATCTTAGGGAGGCGCCTGGCTCGGCGGATGTTCATATGTTCTAGTATGTATTGGCAGGTGCAGGTGCCGGTGCAGGTGGGGATTTGTCAACAGCCAAAAATCCCACCCGGCCTGCTGCACCGTCCCTGCGTTCCACCTTCCACCTTCCAGAGCCTCCAAGGATCCTACCTACGGATCCACGGTTGTGCTTGCCGCGATACCTGGCTGCCTGGCCTGTAGGTAGTACACCAAGTTGGGGGACGTTTGTAGCGGGCTTGAGCAGCCCTACACAGCCAGTTACAACGTACGTAGTACATGCAAGGATAGGGGTTCACGGGTTCCTGTGGAGTATCAATAATGGGATACAGCATGTACGATGGCCGAAATGGTGAAAGGACATCTTGCTTGGTTGTATGCGTATATTATCCTTGATCTATTCTAGATTATTAGCAAATCTTCGGTAGTTCGCATTTGTGACCAAGTCGCATATATAACCTGGGCATTTTTCAACCTTCCACCAATATCCAGTATCTACTGATTGATTAGTAGATGATGCATCATGTTTCCGTTCCATTGGTAGTGAATCATAATTCCCTATCTAAACATTGGTTTGTCTCATCTCATGTGGCACAGCCACATGCTTCGCTTCGACCCGTGTTGCTAGCGGCAGCCATCATCAAATATTGAGCGGCCGACTTTGAATTGAACAGATGAATATTATCAAGACCCTTAGCCACTGGGCAACCTCTGGGCTTCAATATGTAAGCAAAAATGATACCGAATCTTCCAATTATCGTACTCGTATACAGCCTCGATAAAATTTGGATGTGTTGCTCAAGGCTCGCCTAACTCTACTAAGTCGTTTCCTATTTGATGTCTAGGTTAGGTGCCAACCAAGCCATCAGCACAATATGTATTAATGTTTATGCATGCAACGATGGACCAACGTTGACTAGAGTTGCTATCTTCACCGACATGTGTCTCAGTGGAAGACTAGATACTGTCAATTATACACCGGTATGCAATTGTCATGTTTACTGTCCGTCGTTGTCAAAGTGGCCTTGTTGCATGTATCAGTCAGTCTTATTATCGAGTCACTACTGGCATGGTCACAACAAATGATTCTAAATTTTAGTCTAGTTCACCTCTCATTTGGCAAACAAATGTCGGACTGTCTTTTATAGCGGCAATATAAGATGCCAAAACCTCTGGTATCGATCACGTTCATAGGGTTTTAATTGACTACTTATTTACCGTCGCATGGGTTGCTCTTCGCAGCTGATTCCTTGTTCTAAGCTGACGGCTAGGTCGGTGTCATTTACTCCGTCTGACACACAGTATCGAATGTCCACATACACATTCCGTTATTCAGTTAAGCTAGATCGCAAAGGGCTCGCGCAATCACTCCTGCACAAGTTAACTGGTCCAGTGTAGGATAGAATGGCTTTCGATGGACCGTTTTACACACTGGCGTGTTAACTAAGAGACTGCCCGCCTTATTTTCTGTCAACATCAACGCCCACAATCCTCAAGATTCCAAGATCACTGTACGCAAGGCAATACCGCGTTGGAGCCCAAGCAACCACGGGACAAGCACCGGCCGTCTTGAACGTGTGTACATGCTCTCCTGTTTCAACATGTGATATCTCCAGCCCAGATCCTAAACAAAACCATGTTAGAAAGACTAGTAACAGCTGGGAGTTCAAGAATTCTTACCCTCATCACTGCCACCAACGACAAAACTTCCGTCAAATGTAAAGCCTATTTAACAAACGATGAGTAATTGTATAAAATGAGTGAACTCAATGAACCTACTGAGACTCTTGACAGGGCCAACCATCCTAGTAATCGTCCTCTGACATACCCAATCCGTGGTATCCCACAACGCAATGATAGAATCCGAGCCACCAGTCGCCAGATATCGTCCAGTAGGTTGCAGATCCGCGGTCAGGCACGACGAGGTGTGCCCGTTAAGCTCATACTCGCTCGTTTCATCACCATGATTATTTTGAAGCACAGGCTCAAAACCCGGATACGACAGAACCCGAATGCGGCCTTCCGCCGTGGTCACAAATATCTTCTCGCCGCTCCAACAGAATGCGATCTGATTAGTCTGCACCGATTGTTGATGAGTGCTGATGGGCATAGATTGAGTTGGCGATAGAATGTAGATGGTATCTGCCTTGTTTCCGACAAGAAGCGAGTTGCCGTCTGGTGCCCACACGAGAGTGAAAGCATCTCCAAGACCTTTGACTTCGTTGAAGCAGGCTTTCGTTCGCACATCCCAGAATTTGACCACACCGTCACTGCTCACACTGCATAGCTCTGCATCCTTCGTTGGATTGAAAGCTACCTTTTCAACAGATGCTGAGTGACCCTTGAGCTCCGTCGAGAACTTCACATGAGGTTTCTCGGGGTTCCCTGTTTTACTTCGCCTCAGCATGGGGACTAATCAAGTTCGCGGCTTCATCAACTCACACACTCGTAAAGTCTTCTCTGACGAACCCGTTGCTACCAAGGTTCCGAGGGGATTCCACGCAATGCAGCGTAGGCTTGAAAACCCATTTTAGTAACTCCTAACACAACACAGCTTCATTCCAGATTGAAAGTGCATACCTATGGGGATTTGAACCCCGCGAATTGTTGGCATCATTGTAAGGTTGACTTCTTAGGTTCCCGAAGTAGCTAGAGAACTTGTCCTTGGACAAGCTCTGCCTTGCTCGGAGAACTGGCGCCATGTTGGTTGCGTGAGGGGCTGTTTCAACTAGAATCGTTGTCTAAAAGCTTGATGGTCTTGTAAACTCTTATGCTCAGTTGGCGGTCAGCGCAATACCACCATAAATATAAGTTTTATGGGTAAATGATGTGTTGGACAATGATCTTAATTCACGTGATCACTGTAAAAGCTTGAGATATGTATTTGGTGATATCAGGTCTTTCGCTAAAGCCTTAAGCAAGTGGGAGGAAGTTGAATGGCGATGAAGTGCCTGGAGAGGTAGGTATTGCACAGGCCAAGCCAGAGATCAAACGGAACCGTGAGGTGGCCTATCAAGTCATGGCTACTAAGCTACTAATATAAGGTACTGAGTAACAAAGGCAGTGCGGGTCGCACATGCCACACCCTCTTTTGGGTACGTCTGTTGGTGGGTTTGACGCGACAATAGGAACTTAGTGTAAAAATCTATGGGTGTCAACCCGTTTCCAAGGGCAACCATTTATGCATTAATCATCGTCTGTGTAAAAACAACTACAACATCTAATACCTGATAAAACAGGGAGGGAATGGGAACGGGAAGGACATTCTCCGTCAACAATGAAAGGTGTGACTTAAGTTACTTCGTGAAATGTAAACTTCATTCCTGCCCCCCTGGGCTCCTCCTCCATAACCCGGTCATGGTATATGTACAATTTTTCTATCACAGGCCCTTTTCACGATAGCAGCCGAGATACAAAAGTGCCTTTCGTTGGGGTCTCTACTCAAATCATCGAGGCCCTAGTTAGGCAACCAGATGTCAAGCTCAGCTTGCATCAACAAACAACCCCATGGCTGATGTCGTACATCTTTCCATTACTCCCCGTCCAGTGCCCCATAAATAGGCCGTCTGTACAGACAACTCCAACCAGCCGAACCAGGCCCTTGAATTCCTTCGCCAGTGACTCCATGCGCCATGTATGAAGACGAAAAGCATGCTTTGGAAAATGTGCAATAACCAGACAATCGCAAACAAAAAAAGTGCAGATGCTGTCCGCATGTCAGACAGAGATAATGTGAATCCAGACCAGTGAGGCAAGTGCTCCTGAAAGCATTTTCGCCCGAGTATCAACAGATGTGTGGTATCGTGATGGCCCTAACGGGTGACCAAAGAACGTCGGTGATCTATTAACGTCATGAAGCGGCGGTACATTTTATTCCAACCGCGTGCCGAATATCCTGTTGTTCAGGTTATCGAATAAGAGATGCAGTAAATGCCGCGAGTTGTCGATAGCATCTATGATATTTGGTCAAGACTCAGTTCAACATCGGTAATGCCGAAAAGAACAGCATTCTTCTTGGCCCATTGGCGAGCGAGGAGTGAGGCTTTATAGTAAATTAGTCAAAGAATGATGCGAAAAGATGATATAGACATACCCCTCAAAAACTTCTTGGCAGCATACTTCTTGTCAAATGCCTCATGCGCAACAGGGCGAGCAAGGTAGTCGACCATGAGGTGGACGACGGGCTCGACCTCATCTTCAGTGTAACCCGCATAGTAAGATAGGGTGGCATCCTGTGCATGGGTCAGCGAGTGTTATATCATATTGTATTGTTTGTTTACTTACCCATTCACCGCGGTCAAGCATTAGTCGCGCCAAGTACATGGCACCAGCAGCGACGTGACTCGGTCTGTAGGCCATAAATCGATGGTCCAAGAGGCTAATCTCCATCAAGTACTTTCCGATGGTACGAGACTGGATGTCATAATTGTCGGCCTTGGAGACTCGGCGGAGGAAGTTCATGGGGTTGGGGTAGCTTAGATCATAGTTGAGTGTGCTGAGGACAAATCGCTCAGCGCTGAGAATCTCAGCCTCACTGAAACCATCATCGGCAATACGCTTGAAGTTCTCGACATGAGGAGAGAGGACCTCTTCGTACTTGGACGCGATGAACATAGCAGTGATACCCACGAGCTGGAAACGGTCAAGCTGAACAACCTTCTCCGACAAGAATCGATCGATAATGTTAATGGCAAGGAAGAGAGTTTCGGGAAGCAGATGGAAACGCGTGTGCACTTCAATCAGCCAGTCAACCAGGATACCACGCGTCTTCCACTCGAGGTCGTCTTGGTGAGACATATATTGAGGGTTGGGAATCGACTTGCACTCAAGGTCGCGGAGGTATTCGAAGATATCGTTGGCGTATTCGGCAACCATGAGAGGATCCTCAAGATCCTCGTCGTCCAAGTTGTTGACACCGGGTGGGTACTTGAAAGGCGCGTCCTGGACTTCGGTCTTCTCAACAGAGACTTCAGGTTTTTCAACCTCAGTCTCTTCGGGCGTCTCTGACCGCTCATTCTCTTCAGTCAGTTCAGGCTCCTTGGATGATGGCTCATTTTTCTTGACAACGGCCTTTGGTTTGGTGTCTGCGAGGACCTTTCGCTTGTTGTTGATTGTGCCAGATCCGGACTGAGTAGGCTTGGAGTTCGTAGTCTGGGAACTGAGAGCAGGTCTTGTGGGTCGCGCGGTCTTCTTCTCTATACCGGTGGGCTGAGCAGCCTTTGAGACCAATCCCTTTGCCTTCTTTCCAGTAACACCATCAGCCTTTCCAACATTGCTGACATCGCCCAATGCAGCGCGTTTCCGCGTGTTCGCAGCGGTAGTACCGTTAACTGTGGACTTCTTCGTTTGCAGAGCAGCTTTAGTAGGCATTGATAGCTCGTCAACCTTGAGAGCAGCAGCCTGGGCTCTTGTGAGACGCGTCGTGCCGCTATTCTCGTCGTTCTCGTTGCGCGTGCGAGTAGCCCGAGCCTGCTGGTCACGTTAGAATCGCTGATTGGTAGAGACACTCGAGCTTCTCCATCGCGTCCGAGGGACTTACTGTAGGCATCTTGGCTATCTAATGGTTATTGATGGTTGGAAGTTTTACAATGTGATAGTGCTAGGATAGACCAGTTAGTTGACGCGTCAAACGGGAGTTCAGAAAGAGAGAAGGCTGAAATGCTGTCGGTGTGTAGGCAGATAGCGGCAATGTTGCTGAGACAGCGCTATATAAAGAGAGATCTAGTCACGAACCTTTGAATCAAGCTTGGTGAAGACACCGTGAAAGGAATGTTGTGAGTCGGGATGTTATGGCAAATCGTCTGATGCTGTATGTTAGTAAGGGTGACCCAGCCCGGAAGAGACGATTGTGGAATGAAGTAAACAAGGTGTGATGGGAAAAGACAAGAGTAAGGGGAGCATGGGGCGGAGACGATGTTTATGTTGAAGAACAGTTGCAGTTGTGAGGACGATGGATGTGTTTTGACGAGCGGGTAAGGAAGATGGGTTGTGGAGGTCCACTAAAGTGGGCACGTACCCCTACGCGGCTAGACAGGTCGCGTTGCTCTAGGTACGTCAGGTTTCCAAGCGTGATGTCCCACTACGAGACAAAGGATTGGATGTTGACAGGAGCAGGGGGATGCAAAAAGCTCGGGTTTTTCACCTTCGACTTGACGTATGGAAACGCGCCTTGAATTCAGAAACTGAACCGCGGTGTGCAGCAGTAGAGGGAAATGCACAAAATTGAATAGGGCTAGGGTGATATGGCAGAGAGGATGCTGATAGCGGTGGACGGGATAGGAGGAGACTGTACAAGGATGAAGAGATGAATAGTAGGCCTGTCCTGGAGGCAATGGTCGATCAAGTACGAACGGGTACAGCGACAGACGAGAAAAGAGAAATTCAAATTAAAGTCAAGTCGATAGATGGTGGTGGACGGGTCTTGACATTTAGTATGGAGGGGCGGGTAGGATGAGATCAGTTCCAAACGCGCCTGCATCCAGGTGAAGTCGCGAAAGCCCTGGAGCGTCGACAATCTTGGAAACGCTACGTACCACTTCCGGTCAGACCAGTTTGTTTGTGGGACATCCGCCCTAGCAACCGCCCATCAACAGAACTGCTATTGGTCCAACCTCGTCGCGCCGTACTGGTGGGACGGGGACTTACTCAACTGGAGCCCTGTAGCAGAGACGTGATGGCGTCTGTCAATGATGAATGGTGTGGCGGTGCGTGCCACTATGAGGGGAGTCTGTGGCTCAATCCTCTCCCGCCGGCACAAAGTTATTCAGTATCCGAAGAAATTTCAACGTCTCCAATAAGGCTGTCTAGCTACACCAACGGGCACAATTGGTGAGCGTCGGTGCGTTTGCGACGGTCCGGGACATTTCAATTCACATCTCAGTGCCAATCTGAGGAAAATTGGGTACCCCGTGGTTGATCTTGATCACCAACCCTGTGGGTTCATTCTCCAGCAAGCTTCTTCAGCAAAACTAGCTCACCATCCCCTCGAACCGACATCGAAATTACCTACACACGACGGATACCGGCCTCCATGAAGATTTGCTGCTAGTAACATTCAGTTACATATAGTTCGTGACCGAAAATGCTCCAAACCGGTCTCAGCTTCGCGGTAGCGAGGCAAAGCCTCCTTCGCTTTGCCCTAAACCGATCTTTGCCTCGAACATATGCGACCATCAGGCGTTCCAACGAAACCACAGCAAGTCCGAAAGAGCTGGCCGAGAACCCCGAGGCCCAAGCTGCCATTCTGCGAGTCTACAAGCCCCGATCACCTGGTGTAAGACATCTTAAGCGACCAATTAACGATCATCTTTGGAAAGGACGACCGTTCCTCCCATTGACATTTCCCAAGAAAGGTCAAGCTAAGGGTGGTCGTAACGTGTCAGGAAGAATTACTGTGCGACATCGTGGCGGTGGTGCGAAGAGGAGGATAAGAACTGTCGATTTCATCCGTAATCGACCGGGCCCTCATCTGGTGGAGCGCATCGAGTACGATCCCGGACGAAGTGCGCACATTGCTCTTGTTACTGAGAAGGCAACCGGACGCCACACCTATATTCTTGCCGCCGATGGACTAAGGTCTGGAGATATCGTCCACAGCTACCGTGCGGGTATTCCCCAGGATCTCCTCGACAGCATGGGTGGTATTATTGATCCGGGTATCTTGGCTGCCAAGACTGCCTTCCGTGGCAACTGTTTGCCTATGCACATGATTCCTGTCGGTACTACAGTGTTTGCTGTCGGGTCAGCTGCCAGACGAGGTGCAGTTTTCTGTCGCAGTGCCGGAACCTCAGCTGTAGTGGTCAACAAGAACGAAGAGACAAAGGACGACGGCACCAGAGTCATGACTGGCAAGTATGTCGAGGTACGACTACAGAGCGGTGAAGTCCGAAGAGTCAGCAAGGATGCTTGTGCTACCATTGGTGTTGCGAGTAACATTCATCACCACTACCGCCAGTTGGGTAAGGCTGGACGAAGCCGATGGCTTAACATCCGACCCACAGTTCGTGGTGTTGCTATGAACAAAGGTAAGAGAGAGATACAAAGATCCGCACGTTTCTCGAGAGACCATGTATTGATATAATGTACAGTTGACCATCCCCACGGTGGTGGTAGAGGTAAATCGAAGGGTAACCGCCACCCTGTGTCACCCTGGGGTGTTCCAGTAAGCCAACCAATCTGTCAAGAGTTATATGGAGTAGCTAACGCATTGTCCAGACCAAGAGTGGCTACAAGACCCGACGCAAGCACAACAGAAACAAGTGGGTGGTTGTGCCTCGACCCCGAAACAACGGAAAGCGCCGCGACAAGGCCAACTAAGAGAGTTTACGGAGCCACGTGATGAGTTGACGGATGGGATGAAAAGCACATGCCAAGTCAAGAAAGAGTTGGGCTTCAGTGCATTGTATATTATGACGCTGCATTGTACTATATGTGACATTATAGATAAGGACGTGATGTGCGTCTTAATCCAAATTTTAGGAAAACGACCCTTGTACTCTGGTCACTGTCGATAGATTTCATGTTGTACGTGTGAGGTGGTCAAACGTATCCGTCGTCTGTCAAATATTCCTTGTCGTCAAGGACCCAGGAGCCAGTGAACCTCGATTCGCTCTTTGGCGTTATACCGTTGATATCACTCCGCATCGTAGCCAGGCAGGTATGTAGCATAAAAGTCAGTACTGCTTTGGTGATTGATAGAAATATTACATCAGCTTTAGTGAGGGTGTCGTGAAGACCACGGGACCAAATCTTTCAAAACACAACGGCTCCCGTTATGGAGGCAACGAGGCAACAGGGTACATATCTGCTCTTTCAGAGTGTATAAGCAAACTACGGACCACCCCCTGACAGAACACAGGGGTTTCGAGTTTCACCTTGGTGAGAGCATTGCATTAACCACATGAACGAGCGACCAGGGATTATTTGTTCGCAGTAAAGGTATCCGTAAACACTTCCATTATCTGAAGCAATTGAGTTATTATTTATAATAGACGGACGAAGGCCAAGACAATATTTTCTTTGTGTTCCGATTACCGAGTTGATTGTATAGTGTCCGTTCGAGGTACGGAATAGCCAATAAGCATTTGATAGAAATCAGTGGATGATCAGAATTTCTTTGCACAGCCTCATCTAGCTGGTGACAGGCCCACAGCCTGCTGGGTAACAGTGTTCAACGAGGCACAATAAGCCGAAGGTCCAATATAGGAGTAGCTTTGGTGTCTTTTGGTAACAGTATCCTGGGGTCTAGAAATGAGAATTGAAAGGATGCCTTGTTTTCTTTTTCTGATGAAGGGCTATCCGTCATTGACGTAGACGAATGGGAGAGTGGACAGCCAATTTAAGGTTAATTCTCACTGGGGAATTATGATTGGCTATGAAGGCTCGGAGTTTCTAGACGGGAACAAATGACCGCAGATCATGGCAGGGCTTGGCCACGGGGGTCGTCCCTTTCAAGGAAGCGGTACGACGAGAACCTGGGTTTTGTGTTGGTGAGCACTTACCTACCTAGGTACTTTAGTGCTTTATACCTACTAATCTAATGGTACTCCGTACAGAGTATACATTGGACAATGAGCACCAAGTAAGGAGTGGGCATTATAATAGTCAACATCTGTGTCCTGCGTAGTCGAATGAAGCCCAAAACAGCGCAGTTTTAAGACCTCGAGCGTCCCAAGTGACCATTGACCAGCCAGGGTTGTAGAGATAGGACTGTGGTTTTTATTTCTACTGTTTTCTCTGGCAAAACCTACCTATGTAAATGTGTAAACGTCTAATACTTAATCAGTAGATTACTACAACGTGACATATGCTGGGAGAATTCAGTATGATTTCTTTCTATTCATCCTCTAATACAGGCAAGCAGATGCTGCAATACATGCGAGAAGATAGCCTCGAACTTTTGTGATCAACCAGTCACAAATCCATACCTAGGATCGGAATGAATCCATTATGAGCGGGTACCACGCGAGCATTTCCCCAATGAGGTTCCGTTTACGCCGCTGACGCTACAGACACTGGACTCGTCATAGCCTCGCCTAGGTAGTACTGTACTATAGGTGGTATCTATACTTTAGAGCACTAGACGCGCGCATGCTCAAACACTCACGAGAGAGAAACAGATACCATAAAAGGGGGAGAAATTCAAATGAAGGGAGGCTTTGAAAACGACACTTGAGTTGACAGGGCACATAAAAGGTTCCCCTAGGAAGTCAAGCATAATTCTTCTATTTCGAGATCTAACCCCTGCCCACTAGGTAACTTAGCACCAGGTGCCTAGAGCCTCCAGCTCGTACCTGTACCTGTGCCAGTACGGGTCATGTCCCGCACTGCCAACAGCGGCACTGATGTCCACGTAACCCCCAATTACCGACATCCTTAAGCCCCCCTGTGAGATGCCTCAGCCCCGTTTCTTACATCAGTTTCCAAAAGCCAACTTCTCTGGTAAAGGTAAAACCAGGCGCGCCCAGATCAAGCATAGAAACAAGCATCGTTAGTTACCGTTTGTAACTGATTTGAGAACACCAATTGATGAGGGGCTTCTCTTCTTCTCTTTATATATAAATGAGAAAAAGACGTGCGAGGACGAAGTGAGACATCAACTGTATCCAACATTGACCCCATATTCCACTGTCCTTATAGTCTATGCTCATCATCGCCGTATCCATTTTCAATCCCTACCTACTCAAAGACCCTAGACTCACATTGCACAAAGCTGTTACCGCTAACTACTACCCTTCGCTTGGCTTGGCTAGCTGCTTTCTTTTGGCCTCTTTCGCATACACACACCTCAACTCCCTCGCTCTATACACGCCCCAAGCCTCTCCCCCAGACACAGCAAACCTCCCGTCTCGAGTGTTCGTAGAAAACGGAACGGAAAACGGGGGCTTTTTTCCCAAACCCAGTCCGTGACGACAAGCCCCAAGTTCAAATAAACATCCTCCCCCCGATTCGGCGCTCGATCTTCTTCTCCCCTCTTTCTCGGTTAGACTATGCATTCCTATTACAAGATGGGCGACTCAGGTTTAGGAACGATATCTAATGGTTTGCGAGGCCGTCGCTTCCCCATCCGACTCATCCTATCCTACCTTTCCGACTGGATTATTTGCTTCGTCTTTGTTGGCATTGGAGGCTGGCTCGACAAAGTTGCGCCTGCCAAGCGACCATTTTCACTTGTCGATCCCAACATCTCGTACGTCCAAGTCTACCTGCCTAGTAGGCATGGATAGAGCTGCTATCCTCTCTGCTCATATTGCCCTTGAAGCTAACCATCATGATAGATATCCCTTTGCCGAACATGAACTCGTTCCCGCTTACCTCCTCTTCATCCTCGCCATTGGCGTCCCTTTCGTCATCGTCGCCGTCGTCTCTTTGATCTTCGTCCCCGGTCCGACCGTCCCCAAGGGCACCCCAAAGACTCTCATCTGGCAGCGCAAACTGTGGGAGCTTCATGTTGGTGTTCTAGGACTCGTCCTCTCCCTCACGCTGTCGTGGTTTTTCACCAGCTCGATGAAGAACTTGTTTGGAAAACCTCGACCCGATCTTCTCGCCCGCTGTGAACCCGACATAGAAAATGTTACGAAATACCTTGTCGGTGGTTTTGAATGGCGTAATATGACTGGCCAGCTCGTTTCCGCTGCCATCTGTCAACAGAAAGACAAGTATAAGATCGATGATGGTTTCCGTTCGTACCCTAGCGGCCACTCATCCTCTGCTGCTGGCGGCCTCATCTACGCTTCACTTTTCATGGCTAGCAAGTTTGCAGTCACAATCCCGTTTGTTATGCCCTCGGCTGCCTCTGTTGCGGGAGCTGCAAGCCATGCTGCTTTCCCTTCTCGTATCAGCACTGGTCCTATTGTTGATCCCTACGAACCTTCGCGCGCCCGCGGTCTCGACGGATCCTTCTCTTCGGCACCTATAAAGGGACAAGAAACCGCCAAGGTCCAGTCTCTACGTCGCCAAGCCGCTGCGCCCCCGATTTATCTCCTCGCTCTTGGCCTTTTGCCTTTTGGCGTCTCCATCTTCATTGCTGGTTCGCGCTGGCACGACCGTCGTCACCACGGTTTTGATATTCTGTTCGGTTATTTAATGGGTCTCATTGCCGCCATCTTTGCCTTCCGTTACTACCATTTGCCAATCCGTGCAGGCGCAGGCTGGGCATGGGGTCCCCGAAGTGACGAGCGCGCATTCTGGGCTGGTGTTGGACGACACGGTTATGCCGGTACAGACGAAGAGCTTGGCTCATATGCCCCAACACGACGTGACACTGGTGTGTCTGGAGACACGTCGTACCCACCCATGACATCTGCTCTGGCACAGCGAAATGTTCGCTCGTCATCTAATCAAGAGGAGCCTCGCCCTAGCCAGAACTTCCAGGACGTGGAACTACAGCGTATGGACGACTCCGATCGTCTGGAGAATAGGTTTCCTGACAACCGGTTCGCTGAGAGCCGGTATGGTGACGCACATTATGCCGAGAACCGTGTCTAAGAGCCATGGAGCAGCTGTGCATGAAGATGGCGAGTCTCGTAAGGGAAGTGATTCCATGTCATTATATATGTGTGTAATTTTTCAATTGCTGCGTGTACGGTATATCCAGGTTCAGGGGCAAAAGAAATGGATACCCGTAGAATGTCGGGAAGGGTTGGATTTCCTTGATTGTAACAGGTAGCGAAGGGCTTGCGGGCAGATAGATTACTTGATATTTGGCACGATATGACACGAACAATGAAATGACCGATTTATACCATCTGTAGCTTGATGTTGTTGATATGACCGCTCAATGTGCAACGACCATTAAACAGGCGATTTGAATCTCCCATTTTCAGAGTACGCATGTACCTGCCTGACAAATTTACTTGGAGATTTGATGTAGTAGAAAACAGACGCTTCTTATTGAACAACTATAATTCAAGAAAATACTATTTCACCCATTTGTGATTTGTACCTGCCCTGCCATGCCAGCCTTGCCCTACATTGACTTGCCGCCAAACGCCGATCCAGAACCGAACCAACAGGAACGAAAGCAACAGAATAGTCCCTCCTTGGGAGACGACGGATGTCCATCCAGTGGGAGGCCCATGTCCCGTAAATTGAACCGATTAGGCATCGAGAAAGTGAGGATGGTCTTCCTGGGGTGTCCGTATATGCCCTTTGCGCCAGCTCATGCGGCCTGTTTATGTGACCTCAGGGTTTATTGCCAGTGCCCTGGCATGCACTCTAATCTTTTGTGATGAATCGAGCAGCTTCCTAAAGGCCCTCAACAACAGCCATGCGGCCGTCTATTCCCTCAAACTCGAGTTCCTCGTCGTCGTCCTCTTCTTCATCCTCCATCTCGTCGCGGAAACCAGTGTCGATCTCGAGCTTGCGAAGTCGACGACGCATCTCGTCGCGCTTAGAGCTCTGCCAGCGAATCAGGGCCGCAGAGGCGTGAACCTTGAATCCGTAGACACGGGGGACGTATCGGTCTACGCTCTTAGTGGGGATGAGGGTAGGATACACTTGAAAGAGGATATTATGGAACGAGGTGCCAAAGTAAGCGCCGTCAATGGCGGCATGGCGCGATGATTTGGGATTGTAGATGTCCTCGCATTTGGCACAGTAGAGCTTGACTGGCTTCAGGTTGGGCACATCAGAAAGACCCATGGGAAGGAGAGGGTGGGAGTGGCACATGACACGAGGGCATTTTCCAAACTCGGCCTTTTTGTACTTGTCAAGCTATGGTGTTGTCAGTGAGTGATTAGACGAGGGACTGCGGTGAAAGTACGCACCATTTTTGATAGACCCCTAGTCGTAACAATATAGCGAGCATGCACAAGACCATAAAGGTGCCTCGCAGACTTCTCTATGGCTTCGCGCATCTCATCATCACACTCGAGATCAAAGACATCGGTGACGAGATCCAGCGCATATTGGTAGTACTGAACCTCGGTGTTTAGGCCTGTCAGGTTGAACCTATCTGTGAGATAGTCCTCATCGATTTCACAAAAGTACTCGTTGCCCCTAGACGAGATAAACTGTGAAAGAAGGTATTTGGTTAGCATGTGAAATGTCAAGTACAAAAAAAAATAGAGAAAGACCCTGGCGACCCCGCGATTTCACAGGCTTCCGAACATCACAATGCGGTGATAGCGGGCACCGATAGAAATCCAAGGCGCGTGGGCATATGGTCGATGTACTTACCCAATCCCTCCAGTAGCTCGTGTAGTCGCTGTCCGACTCGCTCACATAGTCATCCATCATGCTGGGCGCGGAGAAGAAAGAATAAGACTATTGACAAAGACGGCTCAGAGACAAGCTACCATGTCCTAGCTCAAGCTGAAGTCGCTGGATTATGGATGCGCAAGACTCAGTCGGAGTCTTGATATTATGGAGTTGAGATGTGCGTGAGAGGGTGTTGGAGTATTATCGTGGATATCGTCTCGTATGTATCGTTTCGTTTCGTGTCGTAGGTATCGTTGTCGTTAAACCCTGACCCAGTCGGCGGTCTTGCGTGGTCTGGGCTTGAGATTACTGGATGTCGGTAGGCTTGGGGCTGGACTTGATGGTGGGGTTGCAAAAGCCGTCTGCGTCCGTATCTGCTTCTCCTGCATTTGCGATGGGATGGCCAACGAGTAGTCAGGTAACGTGACTTGGTGGAGTACGTATCGCGAACTCGAACCTCCACGCCTGTCTACAAGGTACTACCTAAACGTCTTCTTCACCACCATGAATCATTACAACTGCTTTTTGCGGTGACTCAAAGATAGTAAGGGTTTGCTGTTTAAACCGTGCATCATCTACTAGATATTCGTTTGTTAAACGGTCCCTTGCAAGCTCAGTACCTAAATAAGCTAAATCTACTTTAAAGTCAATTGCGGCCATCAAACACGTTGTGATTAATCTATAAAGATAGCGTTTGATTGTAGCGCGTTTTCTCAAAAATGCAGCAAGGAGATACCCAAAGGATCTCGTTCATCTATTTACTCTATGTCTGCAATATCCTATCAGATGATTTTAGGCCGTACCCTCATTCCAAACAACACAACAAAGCCGGTCCCAATAATGCCACCTTAACCAACTCCCAGTATTGACTCCCGTGGCTACTAAAGTATATAAGTCCCTGTATCCAAATTAAGAAGAGAAAAAAACATCCCGTTATCATCTAAGTGGCGCTAATCGTCGAAGCGACACTGCCTCCTTCACTTCCAGAACGTCTATCTGACTCGGATGTTCCGTCCTCATCGCCGCCTGTTAACCCGTTCCCCCCATTTGTTGCTTGTGAAGACGGAATCTGAAGCCGACTCCCTATACCATCTTGCCCTGAATCTTGTTTGAGCGCCACCTCCACCATCCTCATGGCCTCTTGTAACGTCTCGCCCGTTTCATCCATGGCCGCCAGGAAACGTGCAAGTTCTTTACATAGTTCCCAATCGCCCTCTCGCATTGCACGAGACAACAACCGCACCGACTGTTCGGTCGACGAACCCAATTCGTCCAGCGTGTGCAATATAATAAGGTACCCTCCTGCGGTCTTTAGGGACCCTCTCTGGAGAGACTCCTCGAATAGTTCTTGGGCCTGTGGGAGATAGGCGAACAACGTCTTCCATTGCCGAACCTCGGTCTTACGTGTGCATTGTAGCACAATATCGAGATACTCCTTGAACGAGGATAGGAGCGACAGCACGCGAGGTAGCACGGCATCAACAGGCTTGGGGGACGTGTCGACCTCTTCGTCTAACACACGATGTAATAATATTTCGAGGCCATGCGCAAAATATTCCAGTTCTTTGTACTGATGAGCCAAGTTTGATGCCTCAACTGATCTGCTTTGCATTAGATAGAATCGTAACAGATCTGGAAGTATCAGGTGTGTCTGTTTGTGATCAGCTACTAAGTCATTGGTATGGTCTTTGAAACTTACTCTGATGGCGAAATGAAAATATGAAAAATTCACATCGCGACGTTGGACAAGATCAGACTCGACTCCCAATATGATTCCCTTTTCCAACAGAATGGAAAGGGGATAGAAGTCCACAGGGATAGACACCGGGCATGGCGACTCTTTACCATTTTCTCCAGTTGCATCGAGTACTTCACTGATGTCTGGCCAAGCCTTGAGCTCCATTCCATCAAACACCCACAAAGAATCCTTTAGGGCTGGTGGTCCGTTCCGCAGGGGGTTATCCTGTAGTTGCCTATTCGCGTTTCGTAATGGTTGATCTCTGACGCTGGCGTGATACTCCACGTTTTGTGCAATGACGCGCATATCGTATTTGAGTTGACCATCGTCGTTTAGCGACGGTCGCAGTAGGACAAGCTTTCCGTCGACAAGAAAGATTACCGAAGCAACAGCAACGTCCTGGGATGGGTCACCGTCTGTTAACTGCGTATCGGGTAATATCCAACTTAAACCCCGAACACGGGCCGGAGATCTGACGATACCGTGGAACGCGATCTGGCCCACTTGGATGAGCCGTATAGACCCCCCATGGGGTGTAAAGATAAAGTGGTATAGTAAGTTCTCATAAGTGTAAACAAGAAGCGAGTCCTCGCCAGAAGTAGTGACCAGCACCACGGGGGCTGGGACAGTCTGAGTATGCAGAATTTGGGCTGGATCAAGTGCTGTCTCGCGAGAGAAGAGCCGCAGCTCGAATTTCCTGTTTGCCTCTACCGCGGCGACAAGAATATGCTGGTGCCAGCACATACCCCCTCTTACCTGGAATTCGTTCTCCATGGACTCGCTGGCAAACGTCTTCCAACGACCACTATTGACGCTGTAATGGGCAAGTCCACGACGACCTGCTACGGCAACGTATCGACCATCCGGAGAGATGACTGTCTGTCGTATCGGCCACTGGTTTAAGAGGTAGGTCGGAGGTACCTTTGCTGTGTGCCACAAGAAAGGCTCCGCTGAAATACTGGTAAGGTCAGGAACGTCATACCCTCTGTAGACCATCACACTTGAAGGTGTCTGTAGCACTGTCCGGAAGACGTTTGCATCGTTGTAACATCCAGTAACAGCATTTTTGGCCATCTCGAGAGACCATATTGCTTCATGCTTGCGTGCGGTCATCAGGATTTCGGACCCGCCACCCACCCAGGTAGCCCCGGCTATCCCAGATAACCATTCCTCTCCATTGGCGCGCGACGTTGTTTCCTCCGATCCAAAACTATGGCTCCCAAGCTTGCCAAACATGCTCCAGGTGGACCAGCCCTTTTCGAAACCCGCGAAAAGGCAATAGCCATCAGGAGAATAACTTAGAGTTGTAAAGGCTCCTGAAGACGCTGTTGAAACAGGGACTTGGTGAGTGTGTGAATGAGGAATGTTGCCAGCGTAGTCACGAACGGAATAAACTTGCACAGTGCCGTCACAGCAACCTACAGCAATGAGCGAGAATCGTGCGTTTATGACAGCCGTAATAGCACGGTCATTTTCGCCTTGGGGTATATGGAAACAGTGACCTTTGAATAGGCGCTTCGCATCGGGGTCGTCAACCTGGCTTGTCTCTGCTCGGTGATTATATCGCTGGACCGCATACGCTCGCCCACTGCTCGTAATCCACGTCAAAAGATTCATAGGACGATCATGTGTCATCTCGACGATGGTCGCCTTCTTCTCGACCCATCCCATACGGCTGATTATCTCCGTTCTTGTCTGCGAGCCGGTACTGTCTGGAGTCCAACGAATGCACTGGACTGCAGCAGGCTTTCTTGTCGATACCATAAGCTCGTCGTCAAGGGCAAGGGCGCTTTCAATACCGGCATCGACCTTGATAACCATTCTGAAACGCACGCTCAGGTCACGAACCCCTGGTCCTTCGCCAGCGCCCCATAAGATTTGATCAGGGGGTAATCCGGTGAGGCTTCCAATAAGACTCTGCCTGCGTCGCTGCACATTGCTGTAGTTTGCGAAATGAGGTTTATACACACGCGAATCTGAATCGGTGGCTAGGGAGTAAGTGATGAGATAGCCTTGATCGGTGTGTATGACGAGAATGGCGGCGTCGGGTCTTAATAAAAGGTCTACATTCCTGCCATATGTTTGTAGGGAGTAGTCCGACCGAATGACTACGGCTAAGATGACGGCGGGCTATATCCGTCAGTACGAATCGAGGGCGTATCAAAACGACTCGATGGCCTCACCTTGGTCTGCCAGACTGTTATCGAAGTTGTGGTAATAACAGCGAATAAGTTGCCAGTGCGCGAAACTCGCAACGCCAGTATTGGATCTTTTATGGGAATACCTCCGGTCTCAGTGTTCTCTGACACTTGTGGAGGTTGGCTTGTTGGAAAATCATCATGCTCGACAGGCCGAATTCCTGGAGTTATCGGTGTCGGTAATGGTGGAGAGTCGAGGGCATCGAAGGGACCGCGGGGCTGGGAGGAACTTGAAGGACCAGGTGATGGGGTCAGGCTGGAATCGGAGGGACTCGTGAGTCCATCGTGAGAGACGAAAAGTTTGAAGGCTGGAGATCGACTGCTGCTGGTAGCATGGATTCGTGGTGTTCCAATGGGCCAATACATTGCGACAGCTTAGCTGAGAAGCTAAGGGTAGCTGTAGCTGTAGCTGGAGCTGTGGATGTGAATGCGCGATGCTTCTGAAGACCCAGCGCTTCAATGGGAAAGATGTCGCTGTAGCAGAGACCCAAACATGTCCCTGGGCGTTATCCAACTCGAGAACTGGCTCCTCAGCCCATTGGGTTCTGGCGATGTTTATAGGGCAAGGATATTGAAGGTGACGTGTGTTGTCGCTGTGTCGCAGGTGAGCTCCGAGGGATGTTGTCATGGTAGAGGCTCATTGGCGGTTCGTGAGCTTACATAAGGCTATTTGCTCCTTCTAGCATCCGGACATTCCAACTTACCACTAACATGGAAGGTAACCCTTGCTATCTTCGATCAAACTTCAGGTACCTTGCAGCATTGCAACTTTGATCTTTTATCTTGATACATACATCGATCGACAGAATCACAGTTCTTACAATTACCCATCTGACATTATTCTAGTCACGGACTTCCTTTCTCGTGTCTACCGTCTTCTGCATTACCCCAATAGATGCCGTCGTCGTCTCCCTTTTGAACAAACAAACAAAGTAAAATGAATGAAAAAGGACGAAAAAATACAATATGCGCCAACCGATCATAGGCACATTCTTTGTGATCTAATCACCAGTTTATCTTGAAATCCATGGTCATGTGCTGTCGCAGTCCGTAGTACATCAAAACCAGCAAAATAACCAACTCCCACTTTACAAACCGTCGCGAACGTATATGGAAAACAAGCATCGAAGCTCAATGGCTGTGTCCTAGAGTGATCCTTGGTTCATCCTGATAAGGGCTGTCTCCTGTCCTTGAGGAATGTTTGTGCCCCATACGGCATGGCATAATGATTACGCTTCTCATCTGCGAAATTATCATCCGGGCATATTTCCACGGCTACACAGATCTCGGGTTCTAGCCACTAGGCTGAAATCTCATGCAGTACGGTTTCGGTTGATGTTGAGTCTCCTTTTCTTCCGAATGTGGGCGGAGCTGCAGCCGTGGCCCATTGAATGATTTCCATGATCTTACTCGGGTCGCGCCTGAGGCCGGAGGAGAGCGTGACTGCAGACTCTCCGCTACCTGAATGGTCCGAGTAGTGGGATTTGGGTCCTGACATGAATTTGAGGTCCAGCGAACCTAGGTTCGAGAGAAGATCCAAATGGCTTCTGGAAGAGGCTAGGTCCCATGATTGTTTTGTGCTTGGCTTGTACCGCGCATTCCGTGGCTCTGGTGGAAGAATCATCTCTTCACCAACGATGCTGTCAGACAGTTGTCTGGACTTATCTATGCCAGGTGCCATCATGGCGACCACAGACACTGCCACCGCCATCACAAAAATATATTCCCGGAGTACTATTGATAAGTCGTTCAATGATGGTGGGTTTTCAGTGAAAAAACGGGATCGAGAGATTGCGCAACCCAGAGCAACAAAGATCGCAACGCGACCAAGACGTGCTCTACAACACAGTTGTCAGCTTCTACTTTCAATCCGTAGCACGAAGCGCCTACTGTTGGAAGGCCGATGCATGTACCAAGACAGAGACCAGTCCAGACATAGCCAACAGAGAGAAAATCCTGGATTATGTTAGGCGAGTAGGTCATGATAATTTTGTGCTTGCTTACACAACATCACGATAAGGGTACTGCGGTAGCCTCATAGCGACAGTGGCGCCGAAGAGCGTCCCGGCGGGCAGAACGGCCAAGAAATGATATTTGATCTGCTGTGCAGCAGGCACTGCTGTTGAACGTGTGTTCTCCATGGCGATGAACAATTTGGACCAGGTGGCACAAACAAGAGAAAAGACTGAAAACCGTTGGCAAGAATTACTCGATAGCTCTTTACTGAAACCAACGACAGATCAGGCGTGATGGGCACTGTGGCCCTGGACAGACATATCGACCGTTCTCTAGGTTCTTATAATCATGGATACCCTATTTAATGCCCCAGACTAACGAGAGCTTTCGGATTCTCTTGTCGAGACGAATCAATCAACAGATGAGGCGAGCACATCAGTCAACCCAACGGAAAATCGCCCTGTCGCCTTAATTATGGTATGGATGAATGATTGGTTGTGCATTCGACAGAACAGAGCATGGGGTACGACATCGTTGTTGAAAACTACACAGTGGCATTCCCTTGCAGTTCAAGTCCAACACAATGAGAGCCTATCGAGATGATCCACGTACAAGGCGATGAAGTTGAGTTGAAATTAAGTGGTGAGCGGGCGAACCATATGAGGCTGAAATGATTGGCTCAGATCTTTATGACAACTAGCCGAGTATACCTTGAAACCATTTCGACCCAAGATATCGTCTGGTCTGTTCGTCAGGCAGAAACGCACTCATTGGAACCTGGTAAGCCTCACGATCACAAAAGTGTGGGTGCCAAGTCTCCAGCCTTGTTGGTTTTGCCGCATAGCAAGGATCTGAGCATGAACAACATTGCTCTTTTACAAAGGTGCAAGGCTATAGACTTCCAGCCACCGGTTATTGAGGCCCGCTTACGCTGCTGTCTTTCGCAACAGAGCATATCGCCTTGTTCACTTTGTGGTTGGAAATACTTATAAGCCTGTGCTGGTCCGACAGTTCTTTGCCGGGGAGAATGGAAGCAAGTTGTTTTGCTCAATGATACTATTCTCCTATACACGAAACGGAACAATTTGCAAAAGACCCTCGAACTCATGTCGATTTATCCAAGGGAATATTCTCAGTCGCCTGAACGTATTTCTAGTCACCATGTGTCTTTCGTACGACTCAGTGGCGACTTATTCGAACTGCTACCAGCAAGTGGAAGTGCTTGGGTTATGTCAGGATTTATGCATCAAATGCACTCAATCACCAATCTATCGAGCACGGTAAGTTGAGCCGAGTACGCAGCTACGCCCGGGGTCTCGTGCCAGACCGCGAGACTTTGAAAAGACCACCCAGACTACTTTCGATAGACAGGAACTGACGTTTTGGATGGTGCCAGACGTGGCCGCCAACAACACGCACCGAGCCTTTAGTCCAGATATCTCAGTGGCAAGTGCTCGCGGCCTGTATCATATATGGCTGTTCAGTTGCGTCGTTTCTCCGTCGACAACGTTTTCGAGACCAGAATTTATCTGTTACTGTTTCAATATGCGTGTCCCTGGGTATATTGGTAGGGAAGTGCACTGGGGCAAGTCTCGACTATATCATGCTGGTTCATGTATCGTGGTCAACATGCGTGTCGATGCTTGCAAGTGTGGTATGCCTTCATATCCAGCCTAGAATGGGTAAGCAGTATTGAATATGGAAGCCGTCATATGGGGGTATGTTAACTGCCCAGATCTTGAGGAGATACAGGGTCGAAGTCGCCTGTTGTACAGTTTCCTTTGTCTTTCTCATGTTCAACATAAGTCACTACTTGGTCGGCGAATATTACGGATCAATAAGTCTAGGGGCTTGCAACTTTCATGGGCTTTTTTAAGCTCGATGACTTTTATATTGAGCTGTGACGTTGCTCTGAGACATCAGGGTTTCTGAATGGTCAAATATCGATATACTGGTCTTATTCTATACCTTGTACATTTATTCCTCGGCCAGTTCTCTATGACCCAATCTTGTTCTTATCGCTCTCCTTGATGGGTCTTGAGAGCGGGAGATATGCACGCTAGGGATGACATGGGCTAGCTAAGTCAGACCTCTGGGGCGCAAGTGACAGAGGAAAGGGCGCGGTCAAGTGCCGGTATCGTAGCGATAGTTTGACATAGCATCTACCAACAATTGGTCACCGCTTCTTTTTCTAGTCACGCGTGATGTAGCACAAGTAGACAATCAAACCAATTGTACGTAATAGATACCTCAAGCGTTGAAAGAAATATGGCTTTGTGAGATGCTCATGACACGAACCCCGCTCAGAATCCGGGGCCCCGGTATAGGGTATCCGGGATACAGCCGGCTAAGAGCGGGCGGTTCACTATCTATCTGCCCGGCACCGGCGATGGTTTGGTGCATATCGCCCGGGTCCGAAGAGTCAAGGGATTATTAAGACAACCGCTCGTTGTTTATCTAGTGATACCGTATCTTTGATTCCTTTTGTAGTCCTCATAGTGTATTTCTTCGTTGTCATCACATCTACCAAAACTCCATATCCATCCTCCGAAATCATAATCGACCACTAAATTCCATACACGCGCACTGTACTCAACTGTTATCGCAGCATAATGATTTCAGCTGTAAGAGCAGCTAGGCTCAGATCACTGATCAAACACAACCGAACGCTTCATAGCAGCTCGAAATATCTATCAAGCACTGAAGCTGCCCCAGCTGCTCGCCCAGCGCATTATGATACCTCCCAGAAACTTTCAGCCATTGATGCAGTGAAGGAAAGACGACTTAAGGCGGGCAAATTGGTCGCCGGAGTTGCTGCCGCTTCCGATAGTGATATGTTCAAAGGCCCGGTGAGTTATGAAGGCTGAGCGAGTTTACAGCATGAAACTTACAAACATCACATAGACGACAGGGCTACCAAAGTCTAAGCGATGGGATAGTATGTAATACCCCAAAATTGGAAAATAAAAATGGTACTTATGACTTACATTATGTTGCAGACCATCTCAGTCATGAGAGCAGAGTGAGAGAACCATGCACACTCAAACAAGCAGCTCGCCATATGAAGAAGCCTGGCCTCATCTCCCTGGGCGGCGGTCTGCCATCCAGCGAAGTCTTCCCCTTCGCAGAGCTCGGCTTCAAGGTCCCAGTGGCTCCCAAATTCTCAGAAAAAGACACGGAAGAATCAGGCCAAACCGTTACAATCGGAAAATACGATGTAAGAGACCGCGGGGGTACTTACGATCTGTCCATCGCTTGCAATTACGGCCAGGCCACAGGGTCCCCTCAGATGATGAGATATCTGACAGAGCATACTGAAATTGTGTACAAACCCCCTTACGCAGACTGGAAGGTTTGCCAAACCATTGGAAGCACCGGGGCACTAGAAGAGGCACTACGGATGTTTTGTGACAAGGACCGTGGTGATTCTGTGCTCACCGAAGACTTTAGCTTCTCGACCGCTCTTGAAACAGTTGGACCACTCGGCGTCAAGGCCTTCGGTGTTTCTATTGATGAGCAGGGCCTGATTCCAGAGGCTATGGATGAGCTTTTGTCGAATTGGGACGCTAAAGAGCGAGGCTCCCGGAAACCTCATCTGCTATACACTGTTCCCTCAGGCCAAAATCCTACAGGCGCAACGCAGGGCACTGAAAGACGGAAGGCTATTTACACCGTGGCACAGAAGCACGACCTATACATCATTGAAGACGAGCCGTATTACTTCCTTCAGATGCAACCTTACACAGGTCGCAACCAACCCGACGTTCCGCCACCAAAGACGGTAGACGAGTTTGTCTCATCACTCATCCCTTCGCTTCTGAGTATAGATGTTGATGGTCGAGTTATGCGTATGGACTCATTCTCAAAAGTACTTGTACCAGGTTCCCGTCTAGGATGGATCACTGCATCGGAGCAGATCGTAGAGAGATATATTCGACACGCCGAAGTTGCGAGCCAAGGTCCGAGCGGTTTCTCACAGGTTATTCTGTACAAGTTGCTCGATGAGACATGGGGACATGAAGGATACCTGAGATGGCTGATGAACTTGCGGCTGGAGTATACCAAGAAGCGAAATGCCCTCCTGGCCGCGTGCGAAGATCATCTACCCAGTGACCTCGCCAGCTGGACGCCTCCTGTAGCCGGCATGTTTGTGAGTATTTCTCAAGCCATTCGCAATCAATCATCTATACGTTTTACTGACCAACCTTGTGCTAGATGTGGATCAATATTGATTATACAAAGCATCCCGAGGCAGGAAAGCGAAGTATCATGGATATAGAGGAGGAGGTTTTCAACTCATGCATTGAGAACGGCGTGCTCATCGCTAGAGGCTCATGGTTCTTGACTGAAAAGGACAAGGCACCACCAGGACTGTTCTTCCGGGCGACGTATGCATCCGCCACACCTGAGAACATGAACAAGGCCATCGAGAGGTTTGGAAAAGCTGTTAGGGATAGCTTTGGGCGAAAGTGAAGTACTTAGGTAGATCTATATCGCTTGAAATTATAAGCATGCACCGAGTTTGATATGGCGCAAATCGAGAGGGAGGGACAAGGCTTTGGTGTTATGTAATCCAAAGCTAACAATAAGATACGACGAAACCACAGCACCTGCTGTATACGATATTTCAAAAACTCATCGTCCTCATCATAAATCCATTTTTAGCCATTGCTTAATCACTTCTTAGCTTCCCAAAATGCAACATTGACCCCCTGACCAGGCGAAAGAACGATGTCTGCTTTCAGGAGAGGCTCCCCACCATCTATATCTTTCATTCTGCTCTCTACACGCTCGAATTTCTGGAACAGGCGGCAAAGAACATAACTCATCTCGGTCAATGCAAACTGCTGACCGATGCAAATTCTAGGACCGGCGTTAAAGGGGATGTAATCGTGTGGTTTGGGATGCCAATGCGCCCATCTTTCTGGGCTGAAGATCTGAGGGTCAGCGAACGTGTCGCTGATAGGAGGATATAGATCCGAACGTCGCTGCATAACCAGAGTCGAATAAGCGACGGGCGAGTCCTTTAGAACGGGGAGTGGCTCGGAGCCATCTGGACCACCTCCCCGGGGGAGAGTTGTATCCTTGAGAGCAAGGCGAACATTAAATGGCACAGCTGGGTATAGTCGGAGCGTCTCATTGAGAACAGCCTTGAGGTAGCTCATGCTCTTGAGATCCTCGTATGTAGGTGTCCTCTCAGTGCCAAGTGTTGAGAGAATCTCAGAACGTAACCTCTTGACAGCGTTAGGATGCCTTCCAAGCTCATAGAGAGTCCATGAGAGAGTCGCAGCAGTGGTGTCTCTTCCTGCAAGAAGCACGGCGATGATCTGATCGCGAAGGACCTTGCGATCACGTGTGAAGCCGGCGAGAGCATGGAGAAAGGTGTAGCTGTGGTCGTCCTTTGCCTTGGAGTTCAGCTCTTCAGGGCTTAGGCGCAATGCCCGCTCAATGTAGAAGTTGATGAAGTGGTTCACCGTCTTGAGTCCTCGCCAGAATTTATATTTTGGCATGATATGGCGAAGTTTTCCTGTGCGAGCGATGATGTTCTGAATGCGCTGGACGTCATTGAAGGCCTCTGCAAATTCTTGCCTTGGGGTACTGGGTCACAAGTGTCAGTTGTTCATGGTATGTTATAAGTGTGGTGGGATCTTGTACTCACGTCAGAGACTTGACATCCCATCCCAAGAGAAATTCAGTGGCTACATCGAGAGTATAGCGGAAGAACAAATCACTAATATCGAGAACTTTACCATCTAGACCCTCTGTAGGAACAGGTTGATCTTCTCCATGAAGAGGTCCTCTGTTGGCGATAGCTTTAAAAAGTGTCTGCATATGAGCCTCGAAACAGTGCAAGTCACTAACACGGTCTCGTGTGAACTGGGGCCTGATGAGCTGGCGACTAGCATGCCATGGAGCTCCATCAGTAGTAAAGATGCTATCACCAAGAAAGTCCTTCCATTCCGCATGGAATGGCTTTCCCTTTCCATAATCAACAAACTGCGTGGCCAAGATAGCCTTGAGATTGGTTGGGTCAGCGGTGAAGATGGTTCGAACTCCCAGGAGTCGATTCTCGACGGTCCATGAATTCAAAGCGCCAAACATGTCATCGCGCCAGGTTGCTAGGTTCTGGTGTTTGACTGTAGACGCGACGAACCTCGCAACAATGTCAAGTCCTTGAGAGTTGAATTAGTTCAAAGAAGCTTGAGACATAGGAGGATGAACTCACCCCAAGGAGCATATGTTTTCATATGTGGTCCATAGTGACCAAGACGTCTGATTCGTTGGTGCTCATCGACACGGCAGACGATGGAGTAGATGCAGTATGCGACAAAGAGGACGATGAGTGTGGTCTTGAGAGAGACCTGCTCAAATAGAGCTTCCACAACGCCCATATTGACGAGGCTTGTTAATGGGTTTGTAGGAGAGAGACCCTTGTAAATAGATTATTAGTTGGATTTAGTATGGTATGAACCAGAATCGGCGGGTTCTAGATAGTTGGTTGATCAAGTGGGTAACGCTATGAACCCACAGACTTCAAGGGCATACCTAGTCTGCTAGTTTAGACATAAGTAACAAGGAATCCGCCCGCCTCAAGCATTGCCTTTAGTCCCGGGAGACGAAAGCCTATAAATACCACAGTCAATCACTATATCATATGTCAACTATCCATCTACCTTCCCCTCTGTTAGGACATTCTAGGAACGGACCTGTCCTGGATAACAAGGTCTCCGTCTCCGCCCTCGAAGAAGGTCAAGAACAAGACGTCACTCATGAAACTCTTCCCCTAAACGGTATAGAGCAGTTCTCTGGGTTCCTTAACGAGGTGTGCCCAAAGACCAAGACAATGTGATGGAGCGTGATTGTGCCACTTGGCCATCCGTATATGCATGACTCTGTTGTACTTATTGTGGCTACCAGTAGGCGGGAAGGGAAGTTTTTTGTCCTTTGCATGATACGGCGGGGTACACCATAGTTGATGTTTCATGTATGGAGAGCCTTTGATTTCCCTTGTTCCCATTTCCATCTTTGTGCATCATATAATTTGATGGATTGGGGATCGTACGCGATGGAACAACCTTTAAGCTGTGAATAGTTTTATAAGCCACCACAGGTAGAGTTCAAACTGGTAAAGCCATTAACAACGTCTCTCGCAGATTTAAACTCTCATCGGCCTCTCGAGTTACTAAATGGCCTATCGGATCGGAAGGGAAAAGCCTCTTTGAGGTCAAAATACTGGCGGGGGTTGGTGAGGATTGACTCAGTTTAGTACTCAACGATTAGGATACCCGATTCGGAAACTCGACCTGGAAGCATGTCCACAGACCCTCGACAGTCAGAAAGGTGAGTCTTCTCAAGGTCGCTCCAACTATGTACCTTGTACGTCCCGTAGACTATCCTTGTCAGATGGTTGGTTGTATTTGTTGAACCAATCATTTATTCTCCTCTTCGTCCCCGGATTTCTTCACATGCCGAGGTCGTCGTGGCGTAGTATTGATCGACAACTTGACGAGACATCTCGAGAATTTAGATGCAGTGCGATAACACCCACCCGCGGTCCGCGGCACTCCGATAATTAACTAAGTATTGTTCAGATGAATGATTTATTCCACATGCTCGTCTTGACCTGGACCGGTTGGGAAGTCACATCGGAGCCGGCCTGACCCACGGAGCCGCTCCTGGCACCGAGAATCCGGCCCCGCATTCCATCACCGTCTCCATTTTCGATGAAGAAAAGTGAGCGGTGCTACGTAATATGAAAGAGGGGAAATAATTCTCTATTCAAAATGCTGAGAACAAACTATGTACAAAGTAATTCGTAATAAGTACAGATGCACCACGCGTCAAATTTATCATCCCTCGACTTGCGCACACTCGGTGGCATTGCCCTGTGTACAGAAGGGCATCTGAATTGGTGAAGCACTCACTCCTCGAGCCACCATACGCTCGCGCATCTCAGCCAGTCGCGGTGCAGCATCATACTGCGATCTGTTCTGGCCTGAGGCGTCAGTTCGGCCTGACCAGAGAACTTCTCCCATCACTGCAGCGCGGGGCCACACAATGGTATCGAGGTTAACACTGTCGATAGTCTCAGTCCATACGGCCGCCTCACCACCAAGCACGCGCTTGGCTGCTTCCTCGGATAGACCGGCCCGAGGATCGTGGGAGTAGATGAGCCGCCAGCTCTTGGTAGGACCGCACCAGTCGTTGAAGGGGTAGTATGTTTGAAAGGCATCGCCGTTGTCAAAGTTGAGCCACTGTCCACGCCCACAGTCAAGGTACTGTTTGTTACCAGTTAGTCAAGTCTTGCGCTTAGTTATTTTGTTGATAACGCACCCAGAAGTTGTAATCACTATCGATTACCTTGTGACCAGCCTCAGCCAGGGTCTTGATAGCACCGCCACCGAGCCAGGACTGAATCACAACGTCTTTACCCAGAGTCATGTTCCATTCGGTAATCATCTCCTCCCAGACGAACGGAGTCATGCCGGCATCTCGAACCTTGCCGTGAGTGTAATCGACGAACTTTTGCAAAAGAGGCGCCAGAACCTCGGTCTCGTTAGAGCGCACATCAGGGTCAAGTCTGGAATCGTTGTGGTTGAGCTCGTCTCCACCAAGGTGGAAGTAAGGACTGTACTTGGAAATGCGAGGGAAGAGGTCATCAAAAAGAGTGTCGAGAAAGTCATAAACATCAGAGCTGTTCATGCGGAACGCACCACAGGGTGGCTCCTTACACCACCATTGATAAGGCTTCTCATTGTACGCGACAATGAGATCCTTATAGGCAAGCTCAACGACACCGATATGGCCGGGCATGTCAATCTCCATGATGACCTCGACTCCGCGGTGGATACCATACTCATAAATACCGGCAAGATCCTCAGGAGAGTAGGTCAGGCCTTTGCGGTATGCACCCTTTTCGGCCAGTTTGGGTAGGGCTGGGATCTCGAGAGGCCAGGACTGCGAGTCAGTGATGTGAAGGTGAAGGCGATTCAGCTTGCTCCACGACATGGCGTCGATTGTGCGCTTGATGTGCTTGACTTCAAAAAAGCTACGGGCAACATCGAGAAGAATGCCTCGATGAGGGTACTCGGGCTCATCCTGGATCGAGACAGGCGCGTGCGGCGTGTACCAGGAAGTGCCAGAGCTGTGCTTGAAGAAAAGTTGGACAAAGGTCTCAAGTCCATGCAGGACGCCTGTAGAAGACTTGGCCTTGATGGAAGCCTCGCCCTTTTCAGAAAGTGAGAGAGAGTACGACTCGTCAACCTCACCATTGAGAGGCTTGAAGGTACTCTCGTCATCCTCCTCGGTCTGGACAATCTTTAGCGACTTCACCCACTGCTTCTTTTGCAGGTCAGGCTCGAAATCGGAATCGCGTTCGCGAAGCATCCATGGGACAAAGTTGTCCTGGAAGATGCCCTGGAGGGCACGAGAGACGCCGGCTTGGACGATTTGCTTACTGCTGAACTTGGAGCCAGCATCGGGCTGGTAGTTGTAAGTGTAAGGGATCTGTTTGTGAAGCAAAGTTTCAGTATTGAGCTGCGCGGTATGGTTACAAGCACCAGAATCGGAATCAGAACCGGGGAGAGTCCAGCATACAAAGCCTCCATTATAGGTGATATCAATTGTTTGATCGATGAAGAAGGCCTTGTCTCCAGTAGAGATCTTCTTTGGCACTGGCCATATGGCATTGGCGGGGGTAAAGGCGAAGGCGGCAACGGCCAGAAGAGCCTTGGACCACATTGCGCCGAGAGGTGAGATGAAATGAGATGATTGGTATGGCCTATAGAAGCTGAGTGAGGGAGGCCGATCTTTAAAGAAGAGACGAAAGTGTTCAGAGTGCCAGGCCCCGTTTAATAAGACCAGCGATTATCCTCCAGCTCCGCCTCGTGGTGTGGCTGATCCTTGAGGAGCTTGCGGATGCTGAGTGGGTGGGGAAGAGAGGAGGCCGATTTCAATGAGATCTTCGGCCTTTGTTTTTGATATACGAATACCAATATTATGATGCTGGCAACCGTTTCCCTCCAGGTACAGAGAGTGAGGTGCAGTGTAGACAACCTTGAACCGCGACGTTACGTTACACTGCAGTACGTACCACTGCAACTGCTGTAATTTGGAGATGGTTTCTTGTTTTTGAAATATGAACTTTTGTGCTGGTGCATTCAAGCAAAGAGATACCTGAAGACGGGAGTCAAGGATGACAGCTCACCTCCTAAACTATTCTAATTGAAGGATGTTCCAGACAAGGTTGGCCAAGTGAGATCGCCAAAAGAGGCGCCGCAGCCCCAGCCGAGCTCCCGTTAATATTCGGCAGCTACCTACTAACCCACCTACAGTACCTTGCAAGAAAGACGCACTTGTCTTGTGAAAATGGAGTCTTACTCTATCGGCGGGATCTGATATATAATCCAATTGCTACTATATTTGCAACAGTAGGGGCTGGAAAATGATTCTATAGGTCCATTTCTCGGGGAGACAGAGTACCGCTGAGATGCAAATAGGCGCCTTCAATAAGCGGTAACGGGCAGCTACCGCCTAACTTGGTGGTACAGCCCCAGCCCCAGCCCATCAGCACCAGTCGGGGAAACAGCTCCCATAATTTATTTACACTCCCGTTGTCGGCGAGGCTGGTTTCATGCAGCCCAAGCTCATTGTTACATTGTGTCCGCACTGCAGTAGCCAGGTGAGCAGTGGTTGGCTGGATGGTTGGTTTACATGGCATGGTCTATAGTTCATATCTTTAATACTAGGCAGGTCTAGTTGTACAGTAGATCCCGAGCTTTTTTACTGCAAGAGAGGTAGCAGTGAGTGGCGGGAATGTCTCAGCTAGCCGACTCCTTCTTCTAGACTATCGAATAAGTCCCATCCTGAAGGGCTCACCTGATATCAACAAGACAAGTTCAGAGTTGTAACAAAGCAGTTGATCAAGTTTGAAAGAGGAGAAATGTAACATTAAGCACCAAAGGGTGTCAACCCAAACCCCTCTTCCGTTATTTTACAAGATTAGTATCCATTAAGTACTTATGCGACGAAACAAGCTCGGATGCCCACTATTCTACAAAGAAACGTCATTCAGTTGATATTAATGGGAATATATGTTCCAAAGAACCTTTGTCAAAATAACGCAACTTCACTGGCTTGGTAACTAGGTGGGTGAGGATACCCGAATTTGCCCAACAGTACCGTACGAAGCTTTATTAGTTCGTGACAATTAACTTATTATCAAAACTCTCTTTTTAACTTACTCAAATTCGAATTCAAATTGTTGTCACCACTTTATTGTTAGTGATGTAAATGTTCATATATGACTAATCGCACCTGTATCCTTTTGTTGGCCATCGAAACTTCTGGTCCGTGTCAGTACGTACACCGGTATTTCTTTTTTGTAGGCACTAGATAGCGAACAAAAATATACAATGGAGTCTTTATTGGCTTTGAATAACACTTAATTTCATTGTCAGGCATATAAAGTTAGTAACACAGCTGCTAAATTTTATCAAAGAATAAACATGTCCCTTTTGTTTTGAAAGAACAAAAAAATTAAAATCACAGACTGTTATATCACGTGACCGCACTGACCCAGTTCTTGACGACCTCTGCTTCTATCAGGCAGACCTTTGCCAACTCCATCTCTATCTTCAACAACCTCAAAACCTTGCTCCATTGCTAATTCGTACGACGTCGCTACAGCATCAAATCACGACCCATTCGGCGACTAATCACACACGTCCTTTGCTCAATTGCGACAAGTCTCTTGCTCACGCGACGCGCATTACTCTCCATATATTTTATTACTTAACAACGCGTTTTTGACTGGAAGCTTTGCATTCAATCCCACTTCGCGGTGAATTCTTCCTCCACCCAAAGCTATCTCAACATATTCAAACCGCCCTCACGACTGCGCAGCGCTTCACTATGCCCGTCGAAGTCAGCCTTAACACGCCCCTGGCGGAGGCTCTCAATGCTGCCATTCAACCCAAGCTCGTCGAGGTTGGATGGGGAACTGGCGGTGCCGATGATTCCGCTCTAGCAGAGTATATTGTCCTCATGCTGGTTAATGGAAAGACCCAAGATCAGATTGCCGCAGAACTCTCGGGAGACCTACTTGGTCTTGGATCCGACGACCCCAGCACCCGCGATTTTTCTCAGTGGCTGTTCGAACAGATCGACGCTCTCAACACCCAAGTCAACGGCGGCAACAACGCAGGCCCCGGAGCAAACCAAGACCCTGCAACAGAAGGCGAGATGGATACCGACATGAATGCAGGCGATGTCTCAGAACTGAATGCGTAGGTCCCCTTGGTTATTTCCCCTTGCCCAATTGTGATTACTAACCTTTACAAGACCTACTGGCCCACGCTCAATGCGCAACGGTGCCCAACGAGGTGGGCGGGATAAGCGCATGTTTGGACAGATGAACAAAGCGATGGACCGACCTGGCGATTCCGCCCTTCACCGTGTTCGAGGCCAGACCGGAAGCGAACGCATCAATACCCACGGCCGAACACCGCCCACTGGTCCCAGAACAGGTCGAGGTGGAATGGGGCGAAACAACAATAACCGTAGCGCCAACATTCAGGCTGGTCTGGCCGGTATGGCCGCTGGTGGCCCACAGCCGTGGATGATGCAAGGCGGCCAACCAAACTCTGCCGAGCTTGTTGCCCTTTTCGAACAACAAAATCAAATGATGTACCAGCTATCACAACAACTCATGAACAATGGCGGACATCAGGGCGGATTCGGGCAGCAGCGCCGTGGCGGAAAGTCCCTATTCGACCGTACGCAACACCCTGGCAGAGGTAACTACCGCAAGGGCTTCAACGATCGACAGGGCGGTAACAACGCTACTGCTGGTGAGGGTGAGGGTGATGATGTCAGTATGTCTGGCGAGCCACGCGAGCCACCTAACCCTGAGGATACGGTATGCAAGTTCAACTTACGATGCACCAACAAGGATTGCAAGTTCGCTCATCAGTCACCTGCCGCCCCTCCTGGAGCATCGGTCGATGTCAACGACAACTGCAGTTTCGGAGCCGCCTGTAAGAACCGAAAATGTGTTGCGCGACACCCCTCACCGGCGGCTCGTCTTGCACACCAAAGCGAGCAGGACTGCAAGTTCTTCCCCAATTGCCAAAACCCTCAGTGCCCCTTCAAGCATCCATCGATGCCTCTCTGCCGTAACGGTGCTGGCTGCACAAACTCTGACTGCAAGTTTACACACGTCAAGACAAAGTGCAAGTTCAACCCGTGTCTCAACCCCAATTGTGCCTTTGCGCATGAGGATGGGCAGCAAGGAGGCTTCAAGGATAAGGTCTGGACTGCTGGCGAGGGCACTGAGCATGTCAGTGAGAGAAGATTTGTGGATGATGGTGTTCCCGAAGAGCTCATCAAGGGGGAGGATACTGACATTAATCAAGATGCTGATGTCATTGTTTAGAGGCAATTGAATATAGAGGAAAAGAAGAAAAAGCGAAGATGGCTTGATCGAAAAAAAAAAAATGATCACGATACCCATGGTCACAAAATGTCCAGATGCCGGTGGATACTAGGATACGGATTGACGAGCCGAAGAAAGGGGCTGTAAATGAAGGGCATGTACTTTTACGTTAACTTTGTAATGTCTTTGGTCGAGGTGACAGAGCATGGAAGGGCGTTTGGGGGTTTGATATTATTTGGTTTCATTTTGACCGCTCAAGTCTTGTTTACTTGTATATAGATAGAGATCGAGAAGCAAAAAGGCCACAGACCCGTGCATCATGACGCTTCAAAGCAAGATGCGCGGAGGGAGAATGCAAACATCAGGCCCACGGCTATCCCACACTCAATACCTCTGGACCCTCATCGTCTGTGATATTGCATGTCTCCAGACCACATGTGCCCATTGTATCCATTAATCGTCTAATTGACATACTTGTATTACTTCCTCCGCGTCGTTGATGACGCACACGGAAGAATACCGGCTCATGCCGCATAGCACTTTACCACTCCACCAACAGTCTCCCCATCTTTCTTGTTCTCGCAACGTAACATAACCTCAACGTTTCGACCATGATCAATTAGTCTCTGACGATGAGTCACAGCCGAGCAGAATCAACGGCTGTAGCTCTCTTGAGCTCAGCAGCTCATTCAACAACGAAACCCCACCTCCGAGTCCCTCTCTGTCGACTGAATGGCTTCCGCAACCTTAGCACCTGCTCGGCTTCGGCCTTGACCCGGCGACGACCGATTATCGCATGCAAGCATACACAAAGCTCCAGAGATGGACGGAGATATGTGTCGCAGGCAAAAGATGCAAACATCGCGGTAATTGGAGGTGGATTAACTGGTCTTTCGGCGGCATACTACCTCGCAAAGAAGCTCCCCTCGACGACAAAGATCACCTTGTATGAAGCTAATGATCGGCTAGGAGGTTGGATCAAGACGGATAGAGTGCCGGTGGATATCGAGGGCAAGAAAGGAATTGTGTCTTTTGAGCGCGGTTCCCGGTCGTTGACGTCCCTGGTTGGCAATACCTTCCGCTTCGATGACCTTGTCCTCTACGATCTTGTGAGAAATCTCTTTGGCAATATGAGAGCTCAACTAATACAACGATATCTAGACTCTTGACCTTGGTCTTTCTCTCAACTTTCCTCCAGCCAGGCCGCGATATGTCTATTACCCCGACCACCTTGTTGCCACGCCCCCGAACATCAGCATCTTCGATATTCTCCGCGAGCCTCTCTATCTTGAGAGCTTCGGCGCAGGCCTCGGGCTTATGATCAACCAACTGCGCAAGAGACAGCTTCCTGCCGAAGACGAATCTGTCGCCGATTGGCTTTACAAAGTCACCAACAGTCGCAAGGGCATTGGCAACCTAGCCTCAGCCATGATGCACGGCATCTACGGCGGCGACATTAACAAGCTAAGCGCTCGAAGTGTCTTGGATCGCATCTACTGGGGCTGGTATATGCCGAACCCTGGTTTACATGCGCGTCCAATGCCTTTACCTGAGCAGCTGATTCTCGAGACGCTGGGGCAGGATCGACAAATTCAGAAGTTGGCTCTGGAGCCCAAGTCTACGCTAATAGATTTTGGCGACAAGGGCATGGAGTCGCTGCCGCAAGCGATAGGTGCCGCTCTGCGAGACCAACCTAATGTCACAATTATGACCGGCGAGGCTGTCAACGATATCCAGTATGATGAGGCCAAGAAACAAGTCCAGGTAGGCTTCCTATCTGACCCCCAAAACCCCTTATTAACAGTGCCCTATAGATCAACAGTTTCAACACCCAGAACGAGGAGAAAAGTAATTCACAGGCATATGACAAGATCGTTTCAACGCTATCCGCCCAGCATATCGCCCGACTCGCAGGCGATAAAGTGCAATCGCTCTCCGCCGCACACTCTGTTTCTGTCATGACGGTCAACATCTGGTTCCCTCAGGAAAACCTGAAGCCTCCTGGTTTCGGGTACCTCATCCCAGACTCCGTTGAACCAGAGCTCAATCCAGAACATGCTCTCGGTGTCTTCTTTGACTCAGACGTTGGAACTCGGTCCAAGGACGAACCTGCTGGCACCAAGCTCTTCGTGCTGATGGGCGGCCACTACTACGACCGTCCTGGCGTTACTCCCCCCACTGAGGATGAAGCCATTGTTCAAGCTCGAAACCTACTTGAGCGTCATCTCGGTATCCCTCGCGATGCCCCCGCCTATGCCACAGCAAACTTTGCAAAGGAATGTATCCCTCAGCACAATGTCGGCCACCAGGACCTCCTGCGCAACGCCCACGCTGAGCTGAAGCAGAACTTTGGCGGACGCCTCGCTGTTGCTGGAGGCTCATTCCATCGCATTGGCACTATTGCCAGTCTGCGTTCTGGCTACGATGCTGCCGTTGCGACGAAGAATGGCCTTGAAGCTACCGGTCTGGAGTATCTTGAGACCATTACGGAATTTGCGGTTGTGCCAACCGATATGATTCCTGTGCGTCTCTTCAAATAAATAAGGGGAGGGCATGTATGTATACCAAGATCGATGTTATCAAAAGCGGGCTTCGACTTTTAATCTGGGACTAGAACTGTGTTGTCACTTAGAGCGATAGAAGGAGATGAGGTTACAGTGCCAGTTCAATGCTAAGTATCAATTGAAATTCTAAGATGCTTTGATTCGTAATTGATGTCATGGTATTCCGTGTGCATATGGAGGTATCATTAAGCTATCACAAAAGTCACGTCCACCCGCTTCATATAACCCCCTTTTTCGCCGCCTGTCTAAAGTCTCCTACAAACTCCAAAATTATTAAAAGTCACTGCCGTAGTAAAGCCTCGAGGTTCTCCTATTCCAAGACGACCACCTCGGAGTTGTTCGGGAAAGACGATCCGGCTAGTGGTCGAATAGCTTCGTCAATAGCAAGAAGAAGACTAGCAATGCCGTCGTGTGGTCTTCCAGCCGCACCGGTAACGAGACCGGTCCATTTCTCCCCCGTTGCTTCCCATACGGGTTTAAGCGCTTTTGAAAACTCATCGTTTGACACGGAAGCACCGTTAAGAGGCTTGCGCATGATATGCCACCACGGCTCGCCTCGGCGATGCTTGATGTGGGCGAGAAACGTGATGTCGCAATGGATCGGATGGTTTCCGGGACCAGTTCCTGTAACAGAGTACTGAATTGACATCTCATCCACAGAATCCATCATGAACCTGAACCGTCCCTGATGGCGTGATTCAACATCCCTCCATGTTTCTCTTATTTTCTTGACCGCTTCTAGTGCTGGTAGGGACCCGGGAAGCCAGTTCATCAGAGCCCCGATGCCATTGGCACCATTAACAAGTTTTTGCATCAAATTGGTGACCGGAAGATGAGGGTTTGTCTCGCCCATGACAAGGTCAATATCGTTTTGGGATAGGTTGAGTGTGATCCTCCAAAGTCGAGAGGGCTGGTCCTTATTACTAACCTCCGATGCCAGAGGTCCGTAAGAGAAGGTAACTTCCTTCAGGCTCACTGACTCGGCTACGATCGATTCCTTCGCCTTGTCCATCGACTCGAAGAAACTGACAAATCTATCAACAGCCTTGACCCGAGCCTTCAGGCTCTCCAGCATAGACTGCCCAATACTTGAACGCATCCGTAAGCAGAACTCGCCTGTTCGGGCATTCCAGGAAACGTCGCGACCAACCATGTGGCTTTTGAGCATGGCAAACTTGGCCGGTCTTCGAACCTTGATAATGGCATCAGATACACATGCAAAGGGAATATCTGACTTATCATCCCCTGGCTTAGCGCTTTCGGGGCTAGTGGATTCCGTCTCTGCCGGTTGAACTCCCTTGAATCTGACCGAGACGATATCATTCGCCCAAGGTTGTTTGGTAGAGATACCTGATGCAGAGGCTGCTCGTACGGTAGAACCGAATTTGCCAGACTCAGTGGCGCCTGCGGTCTTGGGGTTGTCCTTTTCGGCATTGTCAAACACCATGGACGGGAAGATTCCTGAAAGGGCGATCTCAAGTGTTGGGAGTCGCACTTGTTGCGGAAGCGACCAGTTATTCGCGCCATGCGGTTTGAACTTGATATTCTGCTTATGAAGCTCTCGCTGATCCACTGCTTGCGCAATCATGCCACTTGCGAATAAGGTCAGGTTGTTCCAGAATTCGTCATCAAGACGAGGATAGCCCTTATTGAGAGGAAGCTTTGATGCCAGTCGAGGTGCTTGACCAGAAGCATTGCGATTCCTATTGATTTTGTCAGTAAATATGTCAAACTGCAGCACAGTGCCATCAACTTACACATCAACAAGCCACCAGACATCCCCGCTTGGACTCAGCAAGACCATGACAAACCAGTTGGCTTCCCACCCAGCTCTGTGTAGCCAAATGGTCTTTGTCCATTCGCGGGTATTGGTTAAAGACCTTAGCTCGTCTTTGTTCAGGGGACTTCTCTTGATACTCCAACCCGTCGTACTTCCTCGTCGGCTCAGCTCATCTTCCATTACTGCGCACCGCACATTCTCTAGACAAGCTGCGCCATCTTCCGCAGGATTCTTTCCATTATTAAGTTGGTTCTCTGGGGACCAGGTAAATTTAGAATGAGGCTTGACGGCAAAGACGCCAGTCGTCGGCTCGATAAGTAGGGTTGCGCTGTCCTTGAAACCGACCCGCATGGTTAGAGATGAAGCCGCGGGGTCGTCTTGGGAAGAGCGCAAAACCATAGCAGCCTGGCGATTCTGGAATCGAGGGAAGGACAGCAGTTTGCTATGTACACTGCCCAGAAGGAAGTCGATATGGCGGCCAATAACCGTTTTCATCAGTGCTTCTGCCGATAGGTTGTCGGCATCGAAAGTGATATTTTCGCCCTTTACTTCTTTATTATCGCGGTACCATTTTGCTGTCAAGTGACTCGATAATTTCGGGTCAAGTTGGCCATTTGCCTTCTTCCCACTGGTCACAGCAACCGAAACCCAACTCTTCGGGCTACCTGGCTGTGCTCGGGAAGTCCAGTATTGAATAGCCAGAGCTCTGTTCAGCGGCTCCACCTTGAGTGTGCCTGTCCACGAGCCCCTACTCATTTGATTCGCCTGTCGTTTGAGCTCGTTGAGTTTATGAGTAAGAACCAGTTCGTGAAGGAATTGATAACAGCCGAGCAGTCCATCTTTGCTGAGAATGTCGTTGACGTGACTCTCCAGGTAGTTCTTCAGTCCTTCGGGTATCGATGATGCTGCTGGTCTGAATGCGAACCGGAAGTCGATAAACCAAAACTGCTTCTCAAAATCCTCGTCTGCAATCGTGAGATCCACCTCAAATTCCCCAGGTACTGTAAAAGTGACTCGGCCCGAATCGATCTCGTAATTCCTAAAGGGGTATGGTATCTTGTCGAAATCCTCGAGATTTAACCGTAACGATAATTGAGTGTTCACGTCGCTCATCCACTGGATTTCTTCTTCTCGTGTTAAAGGAGGCGGCTCAATATAAGAGAGCTAGTCGAACGTTAGCTGAAGTCAACATACTTTGGCGATGCGCAACACTCACGTCGGGCATCCATGCAGCCTCTCCAGTTGACAAAACCTGGAGGGCTGTCTTTAAATCAGGACTTGGCATTCTGGCAAAAGTCAAATCCCTCTTGACATGACCCATAACATCGAGAGCTCCGGTAAACAAGACCTCTTGGCCTTGAAGGTGGAATCTCAGGTCAATCAGTTGGCTGACCATATCGGCCTTTCGGCTCCATTCTGTAATAACAAGCGCCTTGACCCATTTTCTGTGCTCCCTCATGGCAAAATTCAATATTGATGTCTTTTTGGCGATGTTTTCGCTCGAGGCGTCATCAGCTTCGCCGTTCGGTATCGTTGAGTTTCCGTTCATGGCGGCAGCAGGCAGAGGCATCTTCGCCAATGCGGCAATCTGGTCTTGGAGCGCATTGTGTGTTGATTGCGCAAGGCGCGTAAGGACCTTTGAGAGTGGTATGTAGCCCTGTGTGATGTGGACTATTTCGCCAGCAGGATCGCTCATGCTGGAAGGAATGCAGAGAGGGCGTGATGATGGTTGTTGTTGATGATGTGAGGGCGGAGCGTTTGGGCGAGAAGTCTTCGGGAGGCGCTGAGGTAACGACAGAAGACCGGCCAGGTCATATGAAAAGACGCGCGCAAATCATGCGTAAAGAGACAATGACGCCGCGATTATACTTTCGTGTAGAGGCGTCGTCTTCTAAAGTGGTGTTTATTCGGTCGGCGGAGCGGTTTGTATGGTCACTATTGAAGGAATCTCGATTGATGCGCTGGGTTTGGACGCTGGAGACGCCTGGTCATGTGATAAACCGTGCACAAGCCAGCACAAAGGGACTGCACAAAGGTTGCACAGGCTCGGGTTAACTTTCTTGGACAAGGAAGACTGATAAAATTCTATTTTTATTAAAACTGGTATCGAATACTTCTGTGAGGTGTGCAGTATAGGCAGTCATGACATTCTCAAGGTCTTTTAACACCGATGCGCCTCAAAACACATGATTGTGCCATGGCCTGATAATGGTTATGCTTACACATGTCATCTGGGCATATATCGGATGTGGCGCTCAGGGTCTTATTGGCAAGAACAAGCTAAAAATGGCTAAGAAACTACAATTTGCGCCTGATTGTTTATCCAAATTGCGAATTGAATTGATTCAAGTTGTTATTGAAATCCGCATCTACTTGAGCATATCATAAAGCCATGAGCAAAGCCTTCAACGTAGACACCTCTACGAAGTCCCCAGAAGCAAGTGGCCTCCATTATTTCGCCGAAGTCCCTGCCGTTCCCGTCGTCCTTTATATAGAAATCATTCAGTTGTTTTGTTGCCTTGTTAGGCTCGGGATATCATAGTCCGAAATCGGTCGCGGCTCCCATTGTGTGGGAGGCGTCATTAACTTGATTATTATCAGCAGCTTGCACTCGAAATCCTTTCGCACCCAGGTGAGCCATACAGGATGCAAGTCATCACACTTACAACTTGTTGGGGGCAGCAGCAGCGTTGGTGGTTGGCCATTGGTAACCAGCAGCGTCGCTGAACTTGTAGCCATAAGACGAGGTAAAGTCGTCAAGGACAGCAGGGCCACGAGAACCTAGAAACATCAGTTAGTCACGTCCAACGGAGCATATACTGATGCATACCATAAGGATACTCCATGGGGATAATCTCCTTGTTGTCGTCAAGGTAGTGGAGCAGTGGTGTGAAGATGCGCCAACTGGCATCAAGCTCATCATCACGAACAAAGTTGGACTGGTCGCCCTTGAGGCAGTCAAGAACAAGCGACTCGTAAGCCTCGGGAATCTTGAGGTCGGAGAATCGTCTTCGGTAGGTCAAATCAAGCTCGGTGACGACAGTTTGCATGCTGAGACCAGGCAGCTTGGAGTTCATCTTGATGTAAACACTCTCGTTGGGCTGGATACGCATAACAAGCTCGTTTCGGGGAATGTCCTTAAAGATACCCGATGTGACATCCTTGAACTGGATTCGGATCTCGGTCTTTTGCTCATTGAGAGCCTTTCCGGCCTTCATGATGAAAGGCACGCCGTCCCAACGCTCGTTCTTGATGTAGGCGACCAGAGCGCAGAAAGTTGGGCATCGCGAATCCTGGGGAACGGTGTCGTCCTCGCGATAGGCGGGCTTGCTACCGTCGAGAGACTTGCCGTACTGACCGATGATGACGTTCTTGGGCTCGATAGCTGGGATAGCGCGAAGGACGCGGACCTTCTCGTCACGGATGTCCTCGGCGTTGAAAGAAATAGGCCGCTCCATAGCCAAGAGAGTGAGGACCTGGAGGAGATGGTTCTGCATAACGTCACGGACGATACCGAACTCGTCGAAGTAGCCTCCACGTCCTTCAGTACCGAATGGCTCCTTGAAGGTGATCTGGACGTTGTCGATGTGGTGCCGGTTCCAAGTAGCGCCGAGGAAAGAGTTACCAAATCGAAGGATCAGGATGTTCTTGACCATCTCCTTACCAAGGTAATGGTCGATTCGGAACAGTTCCTGCTCGTTCCAGTCAGGCTCAAGGGACTTTTGAAGCTCGCGGGAGCTGGCAAGATCCTTGCCGAAAGGCTTCTCGACCTAGGGCGGTTGTTAGCCATGACATGACGACTGGGTGAGAGATAACGTACGATGACACGCGCGATGCCGTTCTTTGGGTAACAGATCTTCTTGAGGTGCTGAGAAACAATGGTGAAGACACTGGGGGGGAGCGCCATGTAGAACAGACGGTGGTTTTCGGGGCGATCCTGCTCAACCTCTTGGAGGTGCTGCTCGAGACCCTGGAAGGACTCGTCCTTGTCGTACTGACCAGAGACGTAGGTGCAAAGCCCAGCGAAGTCTTCAAGTTGTTGCTCAATCTCCTTTGTAGGGGTCTTTATGTATGACTTGATGCGTCGAATATATTCGTCGTGGTCCATCTTAGTACGGGCATATCCTACAATCTTGACATCCTTGGGGAGGAACTGGTTTCGGTACTAATTTATCATTAGCCTGTGAAGTCCTTAAGAACCATTAATTAACACTCACAAGACCGAAAAGTGCAGGATACTATCATGGAGCAAAGACAGAAATGTTAGTATGAAGCACAATCGAACATGAGGGGCTATGAGGGGAGCTCCCCACCGTCTTCTTTTTCGCCAGATCACCAGAAGCACCGAGCACGACAATTGTCGTGTTCTGCTTGAGCTCCATGCATCTATAAGGATACTTGCGTCAGTAATCAACTTTTATGCTCTTGGTATGGCAATCTCGGATTGTAAAGTGCAGACTCGCGATGCGATCGCAAACCGCTCAGCGCGAGCATGATAGCTTGGTCTAGCTAGAGCGCAGATACACTTCCATGGTGGGGTTGAGAATTGGCAAGAGGGAACACCTACGGATCCATTGTTGCGTTTTAAATTTGTGAGAGAATTGGAAAGTGAGAAGCAACACGGAATAGAAGGAGGAGCAAAGTGGAGGGAGGAAGATCTGAGAAATGGAATGGGAATGGGAATGAAGGAGGTGACGAGGTTTTGCGGCCTCGACGGTTTTATGACGACGGGAGCACTTATCCAACCTAATGCCCGCCCCAAGGTAGCGGGAGCCAGAGCAGTCACAGCTGGGGGAGCTAACAAATCGGCCATTCATTGGGTCCCTGCGTGAGCGACGGGGCTATGATGCAGTAGGTCCCTAGCAAAACAGAAGAGTGGGTGGGTAAAGGATCCATGGGATAAAAAAGTGCTGTTGTCGTTCTGGGTACTGTACCTTGCTTGATGGCCTCCACTTTATCTCATGGATACCTCTACCTGCTGAACATAAAGATCTGGTTTGTACCGCATACAGAAATCCAGGAGCCATGGTGGTGAGAATTCATTAATTAGAACACAGAAACGATGCCTAGGAGGTCCCCATGGAGGTATCACGGACAGCCATTGGTCGCTGAGGGTATGGAGGTAAGTAGCATTGAACCATGACCCCCCAATGCGTCAAGTTTTGGTTTTGGGGGCTTAAAGTCTTTACTGTTCGTTTCCTCCTCGGTGGTTCTATCCCCGGCGTGTCGCAGATTGTTCACTTTCTATTTTGCCTGAATTTGCACCAGAGCGCCTGGTGCACAAGCGCGGAGACCTGTTCGAAATTGATCTCTCTTGCGGGCCAATTACTAGACGCAAGCGGCCGAATCGTCTCCGTGCTTTTGGGGCCATCCAATGCTACACAGCGCAATGTCTGACTGGATCTGTCGTGGGCTTGACGTATGGTGTTTCCACATCATGCTAAAACACTTTTTTGTGTTATCAACCGCTTATTGTTTAACCAACTAATACTGCACCGTCATTAATAAGTATCAGCCCTTCCCACCTCTATATTCTGTGCGATATCCTCTTGCGATTCATTGTCTAGCTCGCATCGAGCTCAACGTTAAACGTTGATAGGACATTGTCAACCGGTATAGTAACTAACATTACACAAATTGGTCTGTGTCGTGAGCATTACGAAGCACGTTGCTTCTCCAACTAAACATCTTTGTCAGCTCCTCCGGCTCGCCCGGGACATCCATAACTACCAAGTCCTGCTACTTACATTGGCTTCAGCGGTGGTGGCGGTCTCTGGCTTCCATGTCTAACCAAGAGGGTTCCATGACTACAGCCTGAGCTTGAGCCCAAGCATTCTGCCGCACCGCACCCCAACGTAACAGGGACGGCATGGCATACTGTACACTTTAAGATCCACTTGGCCCAGGCGCGACTTGATTATCAAGACGTCAAGCAAGGCTTTCAAAAGTATCGGTCATCTCGCCGCTTGTACGCGGGATATAATCCGCTACAAGAAATGCAATGGCCGAATCAAACATCCATGCAATATTTACCTAGGCCTGTCGGCTTCTGGCTGTTAGGTATAGTCCACTGTTCTTGGTTTCAAACATCTTTGAGACGCATCTGAATCTTGTATCAGCAGCGGCCACCCAACGCAATAGCCATGACGCGCAGATCCTCTCCTACACATTTAATACTGACCCCCAAACCTGGAGCTCGTAACTCAGCGGCAAACACGCATACTAAAACCCGGCTTCGCGGCGTAACCGCGGTGTCTCGAGGCATTCTCCATAGTTAGTGATGGAAGGTCTGTGACTTGCGGCGCTTTAACTTGCCAACCTAGGTCTACCACAGGGAGACCCTAGTTAATATCACGTCAACTCAACAACTTCAAGATCAGCTCTGCCGAAGACTTTACTACCTAGTTATCGGATAAGTTAGTTGGGGCCAATCCGATCACCTCCCACTCACGTCTGCAAACTTAACCAACATCCAATTGTGCTGTGATCAGCCATATAGTCCAGGGTCTCAATTTGTCATCCAATATCATGATGCCTAAATGTTGAAAACATGAGGCGTATCCTTGAGAGAAAATAAAACCCATTAAGTATTCACAATATTACAGACGTTCTATTCAAACAATAATTCACAGTGGACATTTTCCTCTTTGCTTTCCATCGGGATTCGGTAGTTTTTCACGATTTTCAAAGTCGCTTTCCATGCTCGGACACCAAATTCCGAACTGCTTCTACACCAGGGTCCATCATGATATCCGCACCAACCCCTCCCCGGTGTCGGCTCTGGATCTGATACTTCACCAACAAGCTATAGGCGAAAAAGGTAAAAGACCTGCTGAGGTACTGCATGTAATTGTTGAAACTAGGGTCATTAATCAAGGATTGTTCAACTACTATTGAGGGAATTTCTCCTGTGGTATCCGTACACGGCAGCTCTTTCACCCAGACATAATATTCGTAGGTACTCAAGATATCGAACAGGTTTGTTGAGAAGTCATTACCAATCTTCTAATCACACAAGTTAAAGACAGCAGTGGCCAGAGCAGAACCTAGATAGTTCACAAAACGTATTGTAGTCAAATTGGAATACTAGAAATAGGACTGCCTATAATTTTCCAGCCCATGATGAGTTCAGGTTCTGGACTGATAACCAGCAATTCTGGATTCTTCAGACTTGAGTCAATACAACGGTCATGATCATGATAGCAAAAGCTTGGTAGCGGAACAGCAGCAGTCGCAGTGACAAACAGCGCGGGGAACTGAGGCTGAATTGGAATGAGGCTGGATAGATGTGGCGTTCAACCCTAACACGTGATTTTGGGGCTCAATCTCGAATCGGTCGCACCATCCGGGCTCTCCACTCCACTCAGACCTCACCAAACGACGCGCACCCACGGAACGGTCTTTTTGTTAAGACAATTCCTCAGCTCCCACTACTAACTTGCAGGTTGTTTGAGAGGACGGAAGTCATACCACAGTCAAGATGCCTTCAGAAGCCGGTCACCGACGTGAGTTTTCCCTACGTGCCAAAGACAAGACGAGACAGACGGCTTGCGAATTTGGAAATTTGAAATCTGGTTGAACTTGTTGCTAACTTTGCCAATAGTATACGTCAAGTGAGTAATAATTCCATATCCAGCAAGCCTGGCACGCACGCGATATCAGAAACAAGCGCTTGCTTCGACAAGCGCACACTCCCATCCCATTTTTTCCCGATATCGAATTTCCGCGAAGCCAAGCCACGGCACGACGACAACAATGCGATAGAATTTTGGACTGACGATGATGGTTTAGGGGACGTCACCTGAGCTACCAGCGCTCTCGTCACACCACCCGCCCTGCTACCAGCCTGATCAAGATCGAGGGTGTTGACGACACCAACGCCGCCAAGTACGTCTACACTGCGATGGGATTTTTTTTAGTCGGTCTGGATATTGACAATGCATGATAGCTTCTACCTCGGCAAGAAGGTCGCTTTCGTCTACCGTGGCCAGAAGGAGATCCGCGGTACCAAGATCCGTGTCATCTGGGGCAAGGTCACCCGTCCTCACGGTAATTACACTCGACTCGATTCACGGTGAAAAAAGGCACAAGCTAACCCGTCTCCCCAGGAAACTCTGGCGTCGTCCGCGCCAAGTTCACCTCTCCTCTCCCCACCAAGTCTTTCGGTGCTTCCGTTCGCGTCATGTTGTACCCTTCGTCGATATAAAAAAAGGGCTTCGGGCTGGAGTTGGTAGTGAGGGGCGGCTCTCATTTGGCTGCATTGGTCGAGGCAAGGATAAAACATACTGCCTTGCTTTGAGGCATTCAATTCAAAAAGACGTCAAATCCCAACCCCGAAAAAGGCTCTTTACACCTGAGCTACTCGTTTTGATGACATAACTTTATTCCCCTTTCATGCAACGGTTATCGGAAATCGATCCCGCCCAGAGCATTCCACTGGGAGGGGAGCTTCAGTGATGGAACACTTTCTGGCGGTTGGGATTGGGACCGGTGTTCGGAACAGGTCGTGAATAGGGTACAAGCGAATCATCGATGAAATGCCAGGTCCAGGGCCTCTATTACGGCAGTACACAACGTCCCTGAAAGCTGGATTGTGATTTGACTCGTATGGAGAAGTTTTGAGCCATGGTTGGCGTCTAATGATGAATCAGAAATGTCTTTTAAAACCACACAACCACACAACACATGACAATAACCACTTCCATGGCCTAAATCGTTCCCCATTTGGCAGTTGCACAGATCCAAATGTCTACGCCAGGTTGCCTCCATGTGCTCCATTCCGATGTTATACCTTGCTGTTTTTGTTTTGTAAAGTTGCACAGAACTTGTAGAAAGCGTGCTTCCATGATACACAGCTACCATTGCCAGTGCCGTTGTTTCCAGAATTGTGCTCGACATCAAGTGCACGTGCTAAGCGCCATGACTGTCAGACTCAGGCTGAAGTCAGCAGACTGTTGCTGTCAGTAGTTAATGCTTTATGTTAGTTTGTCGTGGTTGTGTGGTAGCGGGTTAAAGGCCAATGTCGTTCTGATAGAAGAATTATACATCGGATATAGTTGCATTCATGCTATACACCAATAGTTAGATGGCGGTGCTTCCAGGGTGGCCTCTTAACGTTGCTTCTCTCAAATACGTAACGCAATGCTGGGTGTACATAGAAGCTACCTAGATAGACACTCAACCTGGCAAATTGTGATAACTGAATCTCGTAAATAACAGTTGGTACATTACACAGCATGGCGCCTTAAGCACGCCGTCCCTGATCTTCACACATCAATCAGGATTACGGAGTATCCATAGGCTACTTAGTACTGTCGGTTTGATACCTACCTAGGCACTCAGTCTTGTAGGTCACGGCTTCTAGGCGTGCAACATTTCAAATTCTCACTTTTTTGAATTTTTCTTTTTTGTCATTGCGCATGTAGTTTTGTTTGAACAAATATCTCTTGATGGCAAATATTGTTGCCTTGGTGATGCATCATTAAGCCAGGGTCCTTCACCCGTCAATCTCGGTGTACTATTATCAATCAACCTATCTCGACTTCAATGATTCCAAAAAGCGGCTCGTGTCCAAGCAGCATGTTTTATCCCCTGTTTCAATGCAAACGGCATCCTATAATATACGGTACAAGAATGTAATGATATCAAAGTCGCCAACGGTTCACAACGAAAAGGCAACCTGTTCAAAAACAATATGGGCTACAGGCCCTAGAATACACAGACAGATCAAAATATCTTGCCGCCATTAAGAATAAATACAGACTTCGTGTCTTCTAAATTACACTGTTTTGCCTTGTAATGAGAAAGAGAAAAAAAAACACAATGAGCGAAATGACTCTTATCAAGGATAGAACGAAATCCGTCGTTGAAGCAATTTGTCAAGGCCCAAGCAGACAATGTGCCATACCATAACAGATAGAACATGTAGGCACAAATATCAAGAGGTCATAGATCACTTAGTTACCTCCAGTCCCGGCATATATTGGCCGTTTCTATCTGCAAATGCCTTGGCTAGTAAGCAATAATTTGTTCCGTAATATGCAGCCAGGGCCAACACTCGAGTGTTACAATAGTCGTAGACCAAAGAGTTAATCCTAGGAGTGATATTGCATGGGTAGCGGTGCAGCCTGCATATTTGTTGCAGCCCAGCCGGAAGAGCCGGTTGTGAGAGGATTATGCGTATGGCTGGTAAGGACATTTTGAGTTTATGCTGCTGAGTTGAAGCCTATCAACCCAAAGGACTCACTTTTTGAGGTTCAGCTCCCATCCATCCTTTTTAGTAAGTGCGTTTCAGGAAGAGACATTGGAAAGAAACAAGGCAGAGCAGCAGCTTATTATGTATGGTTATTTATTAGCTCTATTCTGTCCTGGCCATCAACAAACTGATGTCTTTATCA